AGTTGTGGGGGGGGGGGGTGCGCTTTTGGTAAGGGGGGGCATTGCTTTTCACCGAATTCCAAGGAGTCTTGACGGCATTTGTGGAGCGCCGAGAGGTTTGAAGACTATGGAGTGCCCCCCCCCCCCCCGGGACACTAAGTCCAAATAAAAAAAAAGTGGTTTCCTACGGGGGAGCGAGAAACCTGTTGGGAGAAGTCTACTGGGATTGCTGCGGCCTCCTTCAGTAAGAAACTAAACTTTCTTCTGACGGCTTCGTAGAAATATGCAGCGCAGAATCCGGCTTTGGCGGAGAAACCCCGTTTTCCTGCAATTAGCGCAATTATGTAATGACTTTAACGTGACTTCACTACGACTTAATGTTTCTCAGGACAGATTAGTTCGGGTTTTTTTTGTTGTTGTTCTGGAGTCGTGGCTCGATTATTACATTCCCATGCTTGTTCTTTCACTGGGGAGAAACACGGTGAGGACGTGAGGCCGAGTTGAAAATCACCAATTTATACCGGAGTTCATTCCCTCGATCCGATGTCATTTAGTTTGCTTTACTCCATTGACAACAAAAAAGTAAGATCGTTGATATGAATCGAAGAGAGATGTGTTTTGGATTTGAATACCAAATCTTTTGAAGCTGAGATGAGGAATTTCCTCAGCCTAGTTGACGACGGCACAAATAAAATGACGTGTTTTTTTATGTCCGCTTATTCCAGTTGTGCAAATGAAACATTTCAACTTGAACATGTGAAGGACAATTTTTTTTATGCAATAAACACGTACCCCTCGCGTAGATTCAAAAAGTCCCCATGATGGGGCTCCACAAGTAGATCCGTGCAATCGTCTTCCGAAACCATTCTCTGACATCCCTTTCGCTGCGAGAGTTCACGATGTGGAAAAAAATGTCTCTCTTTCTAATGACACTGGCTCCGATAGCACGACCGGAATATGACCGCAGAGGAAAAGCAGAAGCGCAAAAGGCCATGATATTCAACTCTCTCTTATTAAAAACAAATGCTCCGAGACAAATCACTTCCACGCCGCATCAGACATGCACGTCACTACGAACGCCCGGTCCACAGAGCCCCCCCCTCCCCCCCCAACAAGCTGAACGATCACGGTTACCCTCCGGTGCGACCGTGTGTGCTTTGGGGGCCCAGAACCGAGGATATTTTCTCCAGGGGCTCCTCGCAACGGCAGCGTTGGAGAAACCCACAACATTTTGTGGCAAAAAAAAACGTCATTTCTGAGTCTGCGTTTTCCTCCCTTCCACGCGGTAACAGAAATGCCAATTGTGACGACGATAGAACCTTAAACTCCACACGACGATAGGAAAAATACCGAGCCTGTGGCCAGTAGATGTGCAGATGTAATATCGTTGTCGTGCAGTAGCACTCCGAAGTGGGGGGGGGGGGCGTGGATGACGTGTTTGATCTCGCCTATGGCCACCATTCACGGGGGACACCCTGAAAATACAATAAACTATTTTTCGATTTAAAGCTTTCGTGACTGCAGGGATTCATCTTCTTGGTTCTTTCGGTAAAGTCACGTAGAAGGAAAATAATAAAAGAATAAAAATAAAACATAATAAAATAATTCTCACGTCTCCCCGACAGACCTGGTCTTCACCTGAGGATGGCTGCTTGCGTTGTGGCCGAAACGTCGTGGGAATTATTTTATTATGTTTTATTTTTATTATTTTATTACTTCCCTTCTACGTGACTTTACCGAAAGAACCAAGAAGATAAACTATTTTATTTACCATTTAAGTCCCACTGAGCTCAGTAGCTCCTTTTCAGAAACGACCTGGCCACAAATGACAGCTCAACGAAGTGGCTTGTCACGTGGAAATGTAAAGCAGCCAAATACTCGAAACGCGTGACGTTGATGATAAAATGTGGATGGGAAAACCCCGGAGGACCCGGATGAAAAATCCACGCGACCAGGCGAAGAACACGCAAACTCCAAATGTACAAGCTTCAGGGTCGGGATCGAACCCACGACGACCTCCTGTATTCCAGGCGAGGTAGTTAACATCTCCTAGCCACCGTGCCACCGGCGTGGACGGCTGCCTCCATGGGCCTCGTCACCCCCTAATCGATGGCGACCGCGCAAGCCTCGGCATAGCCCAGCGAGCCCGGTCTTGCCCCTTTGAACGGGGACGATGCAAATTCTGTCGGCACGAAGAACTGGCCCGGCGCCGCGCTGTGGCGTTTCCCACAAACGCTTGGAAAACGCGTTGGTTGCCTTTTTAAATCCTTTATTTAAATCCTTTATATTAAGTTCACTTGCTTGCGCGCTTATGACCGTGCAAATCTTTCGGTCGTTTTTTAACCCACTTCCCGTGATCCAATCGAGCTGACATTTTGCACACAGACTCGTTGTGCGTGACAATTTATTTTCGTGAAAATTTTTTTTCCAAAATTTTACACTTTTTAGGACAAAAATATTATATTTATTTACCAATTGCTTAATGGTGCAATGCAATCATCTGACCCATAGGTGGCAGCCATCTCAAGCCAGAGGACGAGAGGACTCTAGCCGCCACGCATATAAAGGATTTATAGTGAAAAACTTTGTTTTTACGGGTTATACTTGTTCTGCATTATGTCGGCACATCGCTGGCCGTCGTCACCAACGTGGGCACTGTCCGTACAAAACACAGGAGGTGCATAAAACGAAGCCGGGCAAGTTACACAGAGGGTTGCAGCTCACAAACTATCTTGAGAAGTGCTTTAATTATTGGCTGGATGGAGCAGCAGTAGCAATCGCAAGGTTGTAAATTCCAATCTCGGTCAGGACTTCACTCAAGTTCCATGTTCTAAGCAAGGTCACCAGCGGGTGTCCTAGGCCAAGACTCGCCCCACCATTAAAGGAATGTGAAATTTTGCCACCGCTGGCTCAGAGCTGGTCTACAAATCCCTTCATGGTCTTGCCCCACAAAACCTTACCACTCGTGTATCTTTCTACGTGTCGCCTTCTCGCCCTCTAAGTTCTCAATATTTGCTGTCTCTCTCTCTCCGTTCCTCCTTGTTCTCAATCCACGCTCTCGCTCTTTTTCTCTTCTTGCTCCCCCCCCCCCTTCACTGGAACAAACTTCCCCCTCCACATTAGTCACCTTGGGTCACGACTTTTCGCTCCACGTTCAAAACTCACCTATTTTCCCGAGCTCACCCCCACGGCCCGTTGATACCCCCCTCACAACCGCCACCGTCATTGTTCCCTCTTCATATTATCATGTGGGTTTCACTAATTCCCTATTCATTCAATACATTCATCATCATTTACTGTAATCAATTTTGCTTTCACCAAATTCACGCAGCACAGATGTGCCCCCATCGCTGCCTCTCATCTATTTCATTCACCTCACCTCCGCCGTTACATTCATGTGTAGTATCGTTGTTAATTCTTTGTGAAGCACTTTGGTTAGGGCGCCGATGTAAATTCCTTTAAGGTAAGATAAAGAGAAGATGTGTGGCAGCACTTCACCCAATGAGCAGGAAGCTACCGACTCTCTTGAATCAACTTTCTTTGCAGAATAAGGAGAATTCTTATTCTTAGGTTTTTTCGGTAAAGTCACGTAGGTAAAACATAAAAATTAATAAAAAATAAAATTAATAAAATAAAATAAAATAAAGATCACGTCGTGATCTTTATTTTATTTTATTTTTATTAATTTTTATGTTTTACCTACGTGACTTTACCGAAAAAACCTAAGAATATGAATCCTTGCAGTCACGAAAGCTTCAAATCTAAAAAAAAGGAGAATTCTCATTTAGCAAGAATTTCCTCTTCGCACTCTCGTTTCCTCTCGAATGCAAAGTCAACTGGAGGCTCACCTGGGTCAATGTATATACTCTAAAGATACGTGCACAGAGACGAACAACCATGCCTCTGTTTAAATTACTTTTGGGAACAAATCAATGGCCGCAAAAAATAATCCTGCACATATATGTAACAGGATCGTGAAAAGTAAATGTCATTGCTATTGATGCTGACGCTTTGGTAAGTTCTGTCTCGTTTCCGGGTTGCGTGTGTTGTCCGCCAATATGTCCGACGTTTCGCTATCCCCAGCAGCAGTCGTGAAGCTACCAGCAACAATAGTGGAGCTACCAGCAGCAGCAGTAGCGTCGCTACCGTGTAGCCATCACTATAGCGGAATGATGGTTAAGGTGTGTTCCATTGGGGCGAGGCGGTGATGGTGGTGGTGGTGGCGTGGGGGAGGAGGTCTATCTGATTCCGGGAAGGTGGAGGAAGGGCCATCCTCTGCGGCCATCGTGGAAGTGACCCCCGGAACTGCGAGTTGCATTTGGAGGAGGAGGAGGCCGTTCCCAGCCGAGAGGAAGCGCCAGTACAGTGCGATGCAGAGCTCTGATTTATAAAAAAAAAAACCACTGCATTCCACGCGGCACACAGCAAATTGCATCCCCATTTTTTTTTTGCGTAGGGGCGGTGGTGGGGAGGAAACTTTAACCAACTGCTCGACGATTCCCGCAAGCGGAGCAACTCGTCCAGCTGCTAATGAGGTCTCTAAAAAAGGAGAGGCTTTGTATCGATCAGCAAGATGTAAATAGCCACGAATAATTACGAACAAAAATATAATCCCATCTCTTGAAAGAAAAAAAACTCTCCAAAGTTAACCAATGGCATTCCCTCTCCGGAATCAGTACTTTGTTTGGCAGGACCCTGTGGCAGGAGAGTTATAGAGCGGCACGCATGCACATATCAACGCAGACAAATGCACGCATACTTGCACACATATACAAACACGCTCCCATACGCTCGCATGTCCACAGACCCGATCCGATGCGACTCAGAATGTCTTGAGCAATGACACACGCTATTGCATTCTCTTATCCTCCCCCACCCTCCGCCTCCCTGGGGGTTTGGAGAGATTTTTTTTACGTAAACGCGCAGATGCGCGAATCATAAACAGAGCTGGCAACAACAGTGCCATGTGGGAGAGATGACGTCAAGAGAGAAATACACAGATTGCGAGTCCAGCGAGCATCTCGTGTACCAAAAACATTGCACAAAACAGCCATTTATTGCCAATCAAACATTCGTGTCAAACGAAGAGAGAGAGAGAGAAAAAGGAAATATACACCTAAACAGCAAATGATACGCGGTTTTACTTCGATATGCAAAATCCTTCTTCTCTCCGTTTCCACATCACCAACTGCTCTAATGAAGAGTGCAAGATTTGTGTTGTTCCCCCCCCCCTTCCCTTCCCCCGTCTAAGAGCTCGAAACTACTTCAGACAATTTCATAAACGGACGAAGGCTGCGCGCAGCTGTGGCTCATTTACACTCCCAAAAAAAACCGACAGAAACCGCGGCCACCACGGGGAGGGCAGCGTGCGGTCGCGACCCGGCGCAGCCGAGGGTGCGAGATTGCCCGACGACCTCCGGCGCTAACTCCAGAGGTCAACGACCCCCGGGGTCACGAGCCGGGACTGTTAGGAACCGGGCCGCACAGCAAGAGGTGAGAGCGGTGAGTCCGCGCGTGGCCCACGCCCGATTTATTCCAGATTTTAAGCTTTCGTGACTGCAAGGATTAATATTCTTAGGTTTTTTCGGTAAAGTCACGTAGGTAAAAAATTTAATTAATAAAAGTTAAATAAAATAAAAATCACGACGTTTCGGAGGCAACACAAGCTTCCGTCTTCAGGTGGAACCGTCACAGCACGATTGCTGCATCAAGTAAATGAGAAATTCCAAGAACACAGTATTTGTATATATACTGGTTGAGGGTGGGAGGGGCCAAGGTAGGCCCTGAATAATATTTTTATTTTACTTTTATTAATTTTTATTTTTTACCTACGTGACTTTAGCGAAAAAACCTAAGAATATGTTATTATTGACCACTTCAGTTCGCGTCTCTTTCCCGCACTACACACTTGTCTCAGTGTCACAGTTTTTGTGAGCCCACAAGCTGCTAACCCCTGGTCAAAATTAGTAAAAAAAAACAAAGTCGCCGGAGAGTTTCTTTGAAAAGGGGGAAAGACCCAATAATGAACACCCCCCCCTCCACTTGGCTCCTCCCACTTTCAACCAGTATATATAAAAATACAGTTTTCTTGGAATTTCTCTCACTTGATACAGCTATCGTGCTGTGACTGTTCCACCTGAAGACGGAAGCTTGTGTTGCCTCCGAAACGTCGTGACTTTTATTTTATTTTTATTTTACTTTTATTAATTCTAAAATTTTTACCTACGTGACTTTACCGAAAAAACCTAAGAATATGAATACCCCCTCCCCCCCCGTCCGTGAAAAATTTGTCTTCCACGAAACCAACACCAAGGTCGCTTCGCCGGCGCCTCATCTCGTCGGTTGCGGAAGGCTCTTAACAGCGGCAGGCTACGCCACGGGTGATCGAGCGACGGGGGGAGGGCAGCTGTCTGACGCCCCATTACAACCCCCCCATACCCTTGAATATTTTGTGAAACGGGATGGAGAAGGCGGCAATGTGAAGCTGTGCAAGGCAGGTGAGGTCATTCGCTGCTGACAAGAGCCGTGCTCGTCAGCGGGTTGCTTATATCACGCGCAGAACCCAGCAGCACAACACTGATGGAACCCTCTCCAGCCACCTTACAAATGTTAGCGTCGCACAAATATACATTATTTATTTGCGCGTATGAATATGTGTGGTTGTCTGTGTAGAAAGCTGTGGCAAAGAGTCTCAAGGCGTCAGTGAGATTAGATGTGATTTTTCTTGTTTTGAAGGACAAATATTTAGGGCCTCTGTAAGCGTCGGACGTCAATCACACACAGTATCGGTCTGTGGTCTCTTGAGTTAATCTGGCCTAACCAAAAGCCGATATTCAGACCGTTGCGTTGTACTGGCTTCTACCTTGTTTGGGATCATCAGCACAGCGTAACGCGAGTTTTTTCCCCTCTTCCATATCGTTCACGTGGTTCCGCTCACAGCGGCCTAAATCGATTTGACAATGATTTTGTCGATTTGAAGCTTTCGTGACTGCAAGGATTCATACTCTTAGGTTTTTTAGGTAAAGTCACGTAGGTAAAAAAAAATATTAAAATAATAATAAATGAATGTAGTTATTTTCATTCGATATTTTTTTATTATCATTTTTTTTACCTACGTGACTTTACCGAAAAAACCTAAGAGAATGATTTTGTCGCCGGTGGCATGAATCGTTATCGGTCTTTAAATTCCACGATCCCTTGTCGGGGCCTCTTTTTAATCACAGTTACTGTGTATATTCTATTTGTATATAATAATGAATTATGAATTATTATATAACCCCAAAAAACCGTCACTTTTGTCATTACATGTTGTATACCTGCTTCGGCCATGATGTGCTGGCGAAAGTGACATGGGAACTGCGTTGGTAGCTGATAGGCATGATTGCGAATTTGCTCTGAGCCTCTAAGATCCATGGGTTTTTGTGACAGTGCCCCCCCCCCCCCACTCCCACCCACCTCTTCGAAGCTCTCCGAGCTAAACCTCTTTGATTAAAAGTGCTTTCGCGTGGAAACGGAGTGATGCCTGCACCGATCCCACGTTCCCTTGCTAATGCGTAGCCCAACTCTTCATTGCCATTCACAGTTGGTTTAACATGTCAATTTTTTCAAATATTGGCCTCGCCCTATGATTGTAATTTGTTGAGGATTAATGTAATCTGGCATTTAATTCATAAGTAACTCCGTGAGAGTTATCATCCGTATTGTCTTCGTATAGTCATTTAAACGAGTAAGGTAACCCCCACTCCAATATATACAGATTGTCACTTGTCAATGTATCTGCTTGTAATGCTTCCTCTGTTAACTCTTTATATATTTAAAAAAACATGCAATTAAGGATTTTAAAAGCCAGTCATCTACTGAAGACTGAAAATGTAGAATACTGAGCCACTTAAAAAAAAAAGTGATGTCTGCAGTTAGGTGATTCATACTTTTTCTTAAATACAATTTTCCACAGACTGTAACGCCAACAAGGATTCACTATAAAACATTGGTGTCCCTACCAGGAGGCTCAGAGAGCAGTTACACTCCAGTTACAACTGATCCTCACACTTAACGATCAAAACCATAAGAAAATCATCAAATGCGGTTCAGTATTTTACAACCAAGCTGTTGTATTGAATATAATATTTCCTTCCTAAAAATATGAACGTGCTATTTGTTCAGTTGCAGATCTTTTTTTGTGCTTTAGTGCTTTTCTCGGTCAATATAAATAGAGTATTTATACAACGCTGTGAAACAAATACTTTACAATCAAAATATTGCATATAACAACTTAAAAACGAACGGGCCTCATTTAACCCCTCAATTTCAAATCCACCACATCGGTAACTCAATTGTCCCTTGGCCAAAACAATCCAAAACAAATTCTTTGTTGTAAATATCGATTTCGTTGACAACACCTCAATTTAGAAGAAAACAACAAATCTTCCACTAAATTACGAGTCACTCACGCAGGGGCCAACAAAAAAAAACTCAACCCCCCCACGACTCTTTCACTCCATGAATTTCGAGTATCCCAGCTGCGTCATCATCGACGCGCAGATGTCCTCAATCTCACGGATGTCTCTGCGCGGCATCTTCGCCTTCCACGCGCTCACCGCGCTGGCCGAAAGCAGGCCCTCATTAGGCAGGCGAAACACCTGGCTGCGTGTGGCCATCAGGATGCGGTTGATCGCGGCGGGCGGCGCAGGCAGTCCCAGGAACGCGTATATCCTCTCCGAGGCCGCCTGCGGCTGCTGCACCAGCTCCTCGAATCGCACCACCGCGCAGTTCGTCTCCGGCAGCTGGCGGTTGACGCGCAGCGCCGCCGCCGTGCTGGCGAGCCAGACGTGCGCGAGCAGCGCCACCGGCGTGGCATCCGCGTCCGACACCAGCCGGCGCAGCGGCTCGAATTCGAACGCGTAGCCAGACCCCAGGCCGCAGCGCTCGCGCCTCGGCGCGCGCCCGGCGCCGGCGGCCTGGAAGAGGCGCTCGAGCCGAGCGGCAACGTCCAGCTCGGCGTAGTGGCTCGGCTTGCTGCCGTACAGCATGGAGTGGACCCAGGCGCGCGGATCGCGCACCACGTACAGCGCTCGCAGGGACGAGCCCACGAGGCCCCGCAGGAAGGGCAGCTTCAGGTTCCAACTGCCGCTCGTCAGGTGCAGGGCGATGCGCGTGTTGGGGTAGGCCAGCAGGTGAGCTCGTAGGCCCCGGATGTATTCCGCTTCGCTCTCTTCATCCGAGAGGACCCTCTTTTGGAGGAGGGGCTCTGGCTCCTGCTTGGCTTTTGCTCGCCGCAGAGTTTTGCTGGGCTGTTTTTTATGCAGCAACTTTCTCGATCTCAGGGATTCAGTGGGAAGCGCATCTCGCGCGAGCCTCTCAATCAAATCAATACTCCCGCCTGGTGCCCCTTGCCCGTTAGTTTTGTTGCGCGGAAGTGGTTTATCTCCCGGCAGAGCCGTACCACCTAACGACACGCCACTCTCATGTGATAACACCCGCCTCTTTGGCAGCAGCCCATGCAGGGGCATATTCTGCAGGTGAAGCCGCGGGTTCCTGAGCAGGGACTGGAACCAGCCCTGCAGCGTGGGGAAGCGCCCCGAGCGCATGTCCGCGTACGTCCACTCGCACGCGTCCACAAACGGGTCCACCTCGAACTCCGTGTCGGGCAGCCTCACCAGGCGCGTGGGCGCCGCGATATACGCAAAGTCCGTGGTGCCGGCGAACAGCTCTTTGAGGATCTCGGCGCCGGACGCCGGCAACGATGCGACCACGACGGTGGGCAGGACCGAGTGGAGGTCGGGCTCCGGCAGGGGCTGCTGGCCGTCGCCGTAGTTCCCCGTCGCGATCGGCGGGCGACGGCGCTCCCAGCCGAGGCCGCATAAGGGGTGCACGCAGGCCCGCCACACCACCAGCAGCTCGACGACCCACAGCAGGACCACGCCGAGCATCGCCAGCCGCACGAGCCGGTTAAAGGAGATGTAGAACTTCCAGCGCACGGCCACGAGCACCAGCGCTGTGCCGAGCGTGATGCCGACGGCGAAGCTCACCGTGACGCCCATCAGGTACGCCAGGTCGCTCTCGCCCCCCTGCTCACGCAGCACCACCTGGCTCAGGCCGAAGCGCGTTATCTGCCGCTCGTTCTCCAGCTTGGCGTACCCCGCGAAGCCCAGGTAGGCGAGGCGTGCGGCCGGGTCCTGGTACCGCGTCGCGATCGACACGAGCTGCGACGTGCCGTTGACCTCCAGGTGCAGGCGCACGCCGTTCCTGTGCTCGTCCACGAAGCGGCAGTCGCCGAGCGTGACGAACGGCCCGTGGAACACGTACGCCACGCGCGTCGCCGTCGCCGGTCCTCTCAGCGCGAACGTCACGTTCACGAACTGCGTCCAGCGTTTCTTGAACTCCGCCGCCTGCTCCATGTCCTGCAGGGCGGCGCGGGGACTATTCCCCTGGCTGTCGAACCAAAACATCTCATACTTTGCGTCCCACACGTCCATCACGGCGCCGTTGTACCTGTCCCTGACCCTCTGCAGCACGTACTTGAAGTCCAGCTCCATGTTGTGGAAGAAGGCGCTCGCCTGGCTGATGGGCGAGGCCTCCGAGCGCTCGATGTGGTCGACCACCAGCAGCGTCTGCGAGTTGAGCAGCAGCAGGCTCCTGTAGACGCTCTTGAGACCCATGGAGGCCGAGTAGGCCGACGCGGCCTCGCCGCTGGTGAACATCAGCTCGCCGTGCTGCGACGCCGTGACCACCTCTCCCGCCGTGTCGCCCACACCCTCGCCCGTCCACTTGAGCCACTGAAAGCACTCGCCCAGCTGGCCCTCCCAGGGCTGGTTGCACTGGCTAGTGGGCGACGGCCCGAACACCAGCGCGTTGTTGAGATACGTGTGCTTGGGGCCGTACAGCGCCTCGGCCACGAACGCCTGGCCGTTGGGCGCGAAGGTGAACGAGTTCTGGTCGGGGTGCTCGTGCCCGGGGTTGAAGTTCTTCCAGCCGTTGATCCACGGGTAGGCGCCGCTGTGCACGATGTCGAACACTGCGCGCCCGCCCAGCTTTCCCGACTTGAAAGACACGAACGTGTTGCCGGGCGCTCTGGGCAGCCCGCCGCCGTACGTCACCACTCCCCAGTTGGAGAAGACGTGCATCCTGGGCGCGGCGTGGTCGGCGGGCGGCCTGGGCACCAGCTGCGCGTCGTACCACAGGTACTCGGTGTGAAGCGTGCACCAGCGCTGCGACGTCGAGTGCTCCATGGGGCCGTCCCGGGGCCTGCTCCGCCGGATCTGCTGCGCGAGCCAGTTGCCGCTCCCGTTACGCAGCACGTACCTGTCGAGGAACACCAGCTGGCTCTCCGGCCCGTAGAACCAGTTGTAGTTGGAGTCGGCGATGCCTACCGTCCGCTGGTAGCCGGGCAGCGACGTGGCGTAGTAGAACCAGAAGTGCTCGCGCAGCCACGTGCTGTTGGTGTGGTTAATGCCAAAGTGCCTCAGTGCCAGGAAGATGTACTGCGTCACCGAGCGGGACGTGTAGCTGCCGTAGGCGACCCCTTCGTCCAGAGAGCCGTCCACCACGTGGTCCAGCAGGAACAAGGTCCTCTCCATGAGCTCCGTGGCCGCTTGCCGCCAGGGCGCCGCCGCCGCCCGGTCGTGCGCCTCCACGACCAGGGCGCCCGTGAGCATCGCCATCACGTTGGTCACCTCGTGGTTGTGCAGGTAGTGCTTGCCCCACGCGCGGAACTTGGACAGCTCGTACATCTCCTCGGTGACGGCGCGGATTTTGGCGAGGTGCGCGGCCCTCCGCCGTGGGTCCATGTGCGGGTACAGGAAGTCGAAGGCGGTGGCGAAGCCGACGAGCGAGTGCGCGACGGGCACCTCGTCCTGCGGCGCGTCGCGCACCTGCCAGCGCGGGTAGCTGCACATGCGGTCCATGTACTCCAGCGTGAACTTGAGCGCCGTCTCGTCGCCCGGGAAGAGGACGCAGTAGATGGCGAGGGCGCCCAGGTTGTTGCCGTAGATCTCGTTCCAGCGTGCCGCAAACGCCTCGTGCTCGACCGGCGGCAGGTAGAAGGCGGCCTTGGACATCATGCTCTTGACCGAGTTGCGGATCACCTTAGCGAGGTGGGCGTGCGTGGTGTGCGCCTGCTGCTGCAGCACGCGCGCGTCGCCCGGGTCGAAGTAGAGCAGCGGGTGTGGGAGCCGCCCCTCGGCTGTCGAGATGAAGCAGCAGCAGCAGCAGCACAGGATCAACGCCAAGCCGAGCTGCCCCGTCAGGGAGCCCAGGCACACAGCCATCTCGAGTCCGTGTAGCCGGTTCTGCCTAGCATGTGCCTTTCCACTAAGTCACAATCCCAGTCTGGGAGAAAAAAAAAAATATTTAATCCTACCCAAAGAAACTGCAACTTTTTTTTAAAGTTCTCTCTCTCTCACACACACACTCTCCTCCCCTTCTCTGTCTCGCTCTGTCTCCCAGTCTATCCCCCCCCCCCCACTCCTTCTCGTCCGCCCCTTTCAAACGGCACGCTTTTTAAAACTACAGCCCTCGTTTCCTACGTGTGCCACATCTGCTAGCGATCAGAGAGGGCTCCGCTCGTCGAAACACTTCTCAACTGTGCAGCAAATCCTCTACGCAGCGGCGCTCGTGGGCGCAGCAGCAGCAGCAGCCGGAGCCGGCGAAATCGCGCGACCACTCCAACGCGTCCGATGTTTAGAGGCTGCGTCTCGCACCGAGCGGCAACGCACACACGCACACAAAAAACAGACCGGAGATGGCCAGGCTGGGCTTAAGACGGGGGTGGAGACAGGCGAAGGGGCTGGAGGCGGCTGGGTTTGGGGAGGGGAGGGGTGGGTGTATGCTTGGCACTGCACGGTAAGGACGCGTGCGCGTGTGCGTGCATGCGCGGGAGGAGATTTGGGGAGTGGTGGTGTAGCGGTTAGCACGCTGTGCTAACTATGAACCCGGCGACCTGGGTTCGATTCCCGCTCACGGTCAACACCTGTGACGACTCGGCATCGATTGCGTACTAGGGAGACAAAGGCGGGTGGGACACCAATTCCCTCGTGTGCCGTGCCGGTCTTCATAGGTGCTCGCTAACAGCACTCCCCCCCCCCCACCTCCCCAAAAAAGGTCTGTTACGGGCTACGCGGTGGATCCTTGTCTTTGGGAGGAGACGCAGAAGATGGAAGTGGGGAGGTGGATTGGGTGGGAGGAACTGCACGTGGTCCACAAGATCAAATTTCTGCTCCGAACAAGTGGCGGCGGGGGTGGTGGTGGTGGCAGGCTGCGTGGGTGTGCGCTGCACTGGATGAATTCTACTCATGAGAAATAAACCGTGTTCAGCAACAGCATTATTATTATTATTTTATTGGTCATGCATTTCCAAGGATGGTTGTGGGTACGGGGCTTAAATGTGTTGTTTTAATTAACTTGACTAAGTTTAGTTGAAGTTCCAGTATATTGGACGCGGGCAGCAAGTGGGTTTTTTTTCTAGCATCTTTGGTTACTACAGCTTATTACTAACAAACTGCAATAAATGTACTGTGTAACATCATCGCGTTGGCTTGGGTGTCACACCCTAAAGGAGGCAGGTTACTTGGGTAGCTGATGATACATTTTTTACATTTTTGGGTGCCCAAACATGAAATTCTGTTTTTTATATTCTTCGACAGTACAATAAGCAGACTTTGATTAATATGCGTCAAATGCCATCTTCCTTGTCTTTCTAGAACATCGCTAGAATTTACATCAGTCTTTAGGTACTAGTATTCGTAACAATAATAGCGAAAACATACCAATTAAAACCTGTGCGTGGTGGTAAAAGGTTATGAATATTTAAAAGATTGCCCACAAAATGTATTATTCCTCTCCGATGTTATATGTTTATATTTTAGCATATTACCAAACTGTAGACACAATAACTGCAAAATCGTGTTCATGTGGGCATCGCTGCCTTGCCACGGTAAACAAAACTACGTCTTCATTTATCGGACCCCCCCCCTCGTCAACAGCCCGAGTAACAGTGCGCAGCTTGTGCCTCTGTAATTACTGCAAGGACAGGTACCGCCTTTCAACAAGGGTGAGTTGTGCAATATTCCATTGGAACCTGTACTTGTTCTCAGCAACAATGACGTTTTATTTTATTTTGCTTGTAGCTCACGCAGCAACACGATCTCCCTTGTAAAATAACCGGGCAACTGAACAAACAGGATCATCCGTGTAACAAATTAAACAAACTCAATAAGCCTGCACGTGACATTCAGAATAATTACAGGAATCGCATGCCATACGCATTGGAAGCTGAAAGAAGCCACGTTTCTGCCGAATTATAAACTAAATCTTGTAAAAATTTGTAATTGTGGTCACTCAAAAAAAATTCATCCAATGCTCCTAAATGCACACAAAACTAAATTTGAGCAGAAGCAACTTTTTTTTCAAGTGATATGAACTTTTCAACCACATTATCTAGGTATTCTTCATTCCTGTATCTTTTCAGATGCGTTCAGAGTCAGTCTGTGTTGAATGTTTACAGAAAGAAGACGTTTTTTGTCGCTCCGATGTTTATCACCATGGGTCATCTCTCCTTTACAACAGTTTTTCATTCAAACGTAATGTCTATGCCCACGACACTACCGCTTTCGAAAGAAGTCTGTCAAAACAAGACGCTTGTGAAATTGGCACGAAACTGGGAAGAAAAAAAACTAGAGGACGTTTATACCATCACTGTGACGAGTGCCAAAAATAAGTATAACGGAAACATTTCCTAAAAACGCCACTCAGAAGACGGAACAGTTATCTCGACATGCAGCTAAGTTCTAATGTGAATTAAATTTTAAAGTCTCTGTGTAGGTCCTGGTCTGGGTGACTTTGGCCCAAACGCATCAATGAAGTTGGTAGTGGTACAGTACACGAGTTCTCGTTTATCATGGGATCTACTCAACATTCCGATCCAAAAACACAGCTGCGCGACACATCAGATATTGCTGGTAATCGTGGTAATGCAGACACAAACATTTCACTGGAGCAAGAAATTAGGATTCTGTACAGCAAATGGCAGGTCTGCGTGTGGATCGGCAAAAAGGCAGTCAGTCCCACTGCTCACTGACATTTGCATATGGGCCCCGCATTTATTTATTTGCGTACTTTGAAAATTATCGTTATAGGGCTCACAACTCCGTCGGTGGCTTCAAAGTGTTTTGAGTGAGTTTAGCAGGAAATGCCTAAGGCTCAAAGGGTGGAGAAATCGAAGGCACCATAACACGACATTTACAGGCCTTTGTAAAGCTGAACGCCAGGACATGCACTGGGAAAGATTAACCTCCTTCATGTTTTAGGAGAGCCGTTTCAATCTTCTAAGGTGCACGCGTGTGTTTTTGATGTTCTCTCCATCCCTTCATGGCCACTGAGCAGGGGATACACAAGACATGATGTATGGTTAATCGCAGGGCCTGGTTTTCCTCCAGAAACTGCCTTTCCGTGTTATCGCTGCTGCGGTATTCGTCAACACGAGTGGGTTGGCGCCTTGTGTTTTCAAATGTTTTTTTCCTGGAGCAGGCGGTACTACTCACCAGCACCATGACATGCAGGTGTTGCACATCCAGTAACCATGCTCTGGGATAGCACTGTTATAAATGAGTGTTCTTAAATCCATAAATAACTCAATGATTTTCAAGGCTCTTTTTGGAGGTCCCTGTATTGGGATATATGGACAAATCTACTGATAAGCGTTTGGCATATGGGATGAAAGCACAAGTACAGTGCCATACGATGGTGTAACGCTCAACACGCCATGCACAGTTGAAACTTTAATCCATTGCTGTACTGCCATCTCCCGACCACCTCCAAGTCCAATGCTACAGCATACCTGGTATTCGCATGCAAGTATTCCAGCCAAGCCCTGGACTAACCAGGGCTCAATTCTCCATAGGGTTTAGACATCTGACGAAAGATGCATTCTGCACTGTAATGTGGTTATAGGAAACCGCTGCCCTCGGCTAAAGTGAAGGGTTTTAATTTATATATTTTTTTATTCCGAATGAGTCATCTTTTTGTAACCGTCTCCTACATACACACCAGTTTGACTTCTCTCTTCTGACCTGATGTCACTGCCCGACACGTTTGCACATTTACCTACAGGGCACTCCAAAATGCTTTCGACCACTCACCGTAATCATTGGCCACGACGAATCCACCGTCGGATGAATGCCTCCCCCCTCCACCCCCCAAAAGCCGTCGCCACCTCACGCGGTCTTGCGATTTAACAATCCGCCGAGCAAACCTGCACGCTCCCATTTCATCGCTCCATTTCCACGGCGGACGTCCCTCTCGAGTGTCTCTCCCCCTCCTCCTCCACCACCACCACCGCCTCCCTTGGCCGCCTCTCTGTTGTTAGCCGCGACCATCGGTGATCGCGCGTGTTAGCGATGTTCCTGCCCAAGCTCGCCTTTCTTAACGCTCAATACAATATCTCTGTGTCCTCTTGATCCATTAGTTCCCCTTGTGTCGCTTCAGTGCAATTCTAAACGTGCACATCTCCGTGTTTACTATTGCACGCTCTTCAATTTTGGTTCCGTTTTTTTTAACGATTAAATGTATTTAATGAGAGGTAATGTCACCCGGACAGGTTACCCACAAGCCAGTAAATAAAGTATTAACTCATAATAGTTTTTTAGTTAGATCGCGTAAATATATAAATGTGTCGTTAAAACCCGCCACCACCTGACACAGCCAACTAGTAAGGGTTGTCACGTACACAGAACGTGGCCAATTCGTCACTAGTACAGAACTAGTGTGTAGTGTATAGTGTAGTTATAGTAGTGTAGTGTATTGTGTAGTGTATAGTGTAGTGTAGTAGTACAGAACACCGGTGTGTTGGAGAGCCAAGCCACAAAATTTACAATCTGAGTACGACGTTTCAACAGTAATTACAACTAGCTTCATCGGGCGACATCCAAATTATTATATTTATATATTTACGCAATCTAACCCAAAAACAACTCTTATGGATGATATTGGTCGCGAAAGCCTACGTGTTAAAAAGTATCAACTACAAATAGATCTCCGCTCTGCAGTGCGTGGTGTAACTGCGAGCACATTGGGCTTGCAATCCAGGTGTCCGTCGGTTCAGTTCGACCTCCAGGCACGGCAGTTGAAACGATGGCGCAAGCTTCTTAAATTCCCCGTCTCCGTTCCACCAAGCAGGCCAATGTGATGCACCACACAATTCGTGGATGGGGGCAGGTCACGTTCGGTGGGGTAAAGTGTGGGCACGTCTACGTTCTTCCAAGGCGTCTGGCCACCACGAAAGAGGAGGTGCTCCCTGCGGCGTGAGCGAGCAATTGGAGATGCTGCACTTTGATCTTTACCTAAACCCATCGGAAGACGTGTACTCTCGGCAGCGGTCACGTTGGTTTGGCTTTGTGCCAGTGCGTTATGGTTAGCGCAGAGGGTATGGTTAATCCTCGTACTGACAGCAGCTAGGCAGCTTGGCTCGGTGCCAGCAAATATAATAACAGCACCGCATGAGACTGCACCTTCTACCAGAGACATATTTGCCACGCTAATGCCAAGCTTCTAAAGCTTGGCATGTGCTGCCCCTTAGTGGTTTTCTGTGCAATATGTAGATGCTTTACACTGCCTTGTTAATCCACGATGGAAAGGCACCCCCCCCACGCCTCGTCGGTCATGGAAGGTACTGGCCCACGACCCCTTTTCCCCTGCTGTGTGCATGTTGAAACTTCTTCTTGGTTCTTTCGGTAAAGTCACGTAGAAGGGAAATAATAAAATAATAAAAATAAAACATTAAATCATTCTCTCGACGTTTCGGCCACAACGCAAGCAGCCGTCCTCAGGTGAAGACCAGGTCTGTCGGGGAGACGCTGTCTTTATTATTTCCCTTCTACGTGACTTTACCGAAAGAACCAAGAAGTTGTTTGGCCATACTTCTCCGTGCTGATCGGTGTAGGTTGTTGAAAAGTTGTGGTGGGGAAATGGCCAGGGATGCTTTCCATGTCCTTCGTCAATGCCATTATCCATGACCAGGAATCAAGCTTAGTTCACCGAATTCATAGAACGGTGGTGTGCCACCTTCAATATTTCGTGTTACATTACTCGCTTCAGTATCTTTCTCACTGCCTCAATGACCTACGTGGAAAGCTGGTTCAAACGTGGTAGTGGAAAGCAAAGCCAAGAGTTTTACGGTCATGGTTTTACTCAAGCCACCAGGACCACCACTACAATGTTGAGTTTGGATTGATTTATCATACTTTATTGAACCACCTGGATGGAACATGCCTCTAAAATCATGGTGCACGCTAAACAGAATCCGTGATAATTATTGCCAGATTTGACCAACAATTATTCAAGTGGGAAATCCCGATGTTCGACTGCGGAAAGCCAGACCGGACCGTGGACGTTTTGAACAACTGTGAACCTTGGAAATTAATCAGGGCATTGGGTAACATCCATCAACTTCCCCCAACTCTGTCCTTGGCTACATCCATCAACTTCCCCCAATTCTGTCCTTGGCATTGAGACCTGGATTTGGAATTATGAGTTGCTATACAGAGCCATATATACAGGAAGACTGCTACGTGAATGCTAAAGTATATGCTCATGAAAAAGTCGTGGTAGAGGAGGGGGTATTTACAAATCCCAAGCGTAAAACAGTTATATTAAATACCGCGAAAGACGGGTCTTTTCAACACGTAAAGATGACGATTGCTGGTCCATGAAAAGCGAGAGCTTTACTGAGCTATTCTCTTCGGCAACGTACCTATGTTTAAGCAGGCGAACTATGGACTGGTTTTGACTTCCTCGACATGAGCACAGCCTATAACATCAGGCAACCCAGCAGGGTTTAAACCCCACACTATGCTCATCAGACTGACATTAAAACCGGTCTAGAGTTGAACCAAATGCTGCTCGAAAATATTGGTCTCGAAAGCCCGTAGGCTGATGACGTGAAATGTTTGTGACTGTAAGTAGACAATGGTGCGAAGATTTTGTTTTTCACAAACCAACAAAATGGTAAAAAAAAATACAAGTAAAAAATGAATTAGTCTCAAGATACTGCTAATGTAGTGCTGTATTGCAAAACGGTGATGAATAAAAGTGACCAAAAATCTAAATATCCTTCCTGAAAATGTCTGAAACCCATTGAACCTTTCCTCGATAAATAATGCACAAGGCATTAACAGTGTAATCATCATAGTGTGTGTGTGTGTTTTGAGTTAGTTTTTAACTTTGGTCGTATTCTGAGCTCTGACACAATTGGTGCCTTGAGATATTGTGAAAGGCGCCTAATCAGTGAAAATCATGATTATTATATTTAAAAAAACGTAGGCATCATGAAGTGGTTTTGTTGTAGACACAATGACTACTTAATCGGAAAATGAAATACGTACAATCGACTTAGGTCTCCCAACAAAAAGCTTATCACGGGCCTACACCTGTTGTTCAATTGGGAAAGCAAAGACACATTTGAGTGCGTACAGAATTTATAACGAAGAGAAGATTTCGGGCCCCTGAGAACCCTCATCTCCTGGCTGCTGTGGAGGGCTTGGGAGCCTTCGGGCTTTAATTGGAACTCATGAAGCCGCATGTAAAGTTAGGCTGCTTAGGTTAAAATTAGTAAAACAACTCGAAGTAAGAAATGAAAAGGCAATTACATTTAGGAATATTTTAAAAAACGTATTAACCCTTCTCAATGTTATAACATGTTAGAAAACAGACCCATAGTCTCCGAGTATACACTACACTACGCTATACATTGCTATACATTGATAGGCCAAGTGTTAAGAGTACAGTACTGAACATGTTTTTACCAAATTTTACACAAAGCATTTAAAAAAAAATAAACAATCGTTTCTTACTTTGTCTGATTCTTTCCTCTACCAAAGTGACTTGACCTTTAAATAAAAACGTCACTGACTTCCTATTACTACGTTTCACGGTAGAATTATCACTGTTCAAATGTGTTCAGAATTGTGTTGGAAGATGGGTCGTAAATAAAGGGTTGGTGTCGTAACTAGACCCATGGTGACCTTATACAGTATAGACGTTGCAAAGTCGACATTTTTACTGACATTTGAAAAAACATAAAGTCAGTATTTAATTATATATGATTCACAAATATTACGTGTTGAAAAAATAGGCTTGTAAAAATATATCCGGACAATAACACTCACACTTACTCCATATTTTGTGTGTGAGAATATTGATGACGAAACGTAACAAAAATAATCCGAATTATAACACAGCACACGCAGTGTTGTTCCATGTGTTACCCACACGCCGAAACAACAACAATCGCCGTTCGCCACTAAGTGGCGGCGACATCACTACGGTGCTTGTGCCAGGCTAGGTGCACCTTGAGGCCAGGTGAAGTGTCGGAAGGGTAGCCAACAGGTCACTGAACGGACCACAGGTGCCACGGTTTGACTGTGCCCATACCACAGCCTGAAGCCACGTGGTCGGCCTCTCATCCCAAACCACGTGGGGGGCGGCCACCACTCATCCCAAACCACGTGAGTTGACCACGAACTCATCACAACCCACGTGGTTCAGCCACCACTCATCACATTCCCCATCGTGGATAGGGCGCGTTCCGCTATTGGTCAAGAGGCGCTGCTGCCGACAATTACCGTAACCTCCAGAGCTGAAGGACCCTCCACCCTCGTTGTATTTTAACTCGAAAGCTACAGCCGCATCAAATAATCACGCGATAAAATTAGTTTTTTACTTGCGTAAAACTCAATCTGAGTGTCTTCATTGACCGCACCGGGCGCTGTGTTTTGCACCCCGTCGTTTACTTGAAGCGAACCGCGTGCGATTGAGCAAATACGGTAAATGCCGAGTTTCTGCTGAATCTCTCTAAGAGGAAATGAAACGCGTTGGGGGAACGCACGCACGCACGCACGTGTTTCACATCGACGCGGCGGCGATGCTGGCACCACGTGTACAGCGGTGCTCCTCCAACTGACCCGCAACGTTTTAATCGCGATCACCAAACCAAGTTCACCCACCGATCCGTGAGATTTGTTTGCGTGATGCCACTGGAAGACCGCGTGGCGGCGCTTTGCCATGCCCATTACTTGCAGGCCCTGCCGAGGACGGGAAAACCGGAGCGAGGCCGGGAGTGGACCCTGCTAGCGGCTGTCTTGCTCAGGAGAGGTCACACCGAACCCGGCAGTGCAGGTACTGGCCCCACGACCCATTTTCCCCTGCCGTGTGCATCTTGAAACTTCTTCCTGGTTCTTTCGGTAAAGTCACGTGGAAGGGAAATAATAAAGTAATACAAATAAAACTACAATTCTCACGACGTTTCGGCCACAACGCAAGCAGCCGTCCTCGGGTGAAGAACGGGTCTGTCGTTCATTCAGACGCTGTCCTTCCGACAGACCTGTTCTTCACCTGAGGACGGCTGCTTGCGTTGTGGCCGAAACGTCGTGAGAATTGTATTTTATTATGTTTTATTATTTTATTATTTCCCTTCTACGTGACTTTACCGAAAGAACCAAGAAGATGAATCCCCGCAGTCACGAAAGCTTTAAATCGAAATGTTGAAACTTCTATCGCACCGTACGTTGTTGCCAACCGTGCTATTTACCTCTTCCTGCATTTTCTGCCCGTGCCCTCCTGACCCTTTGCTCCGGTCTGTGTAAACTTGCCATGGCCCGCCCTGTTTTAGCATGGCAATGCCTTGCGAATTGCTTGACCTGTCCCTGGCCTGTTATTGCACTGCCCTGCCTTGACATTCCATTCCCTTGGCTCAATCATTGCCTTGCCATTCCTTCTGTCCCTTGGCTTACAGTGGCTCGTCTTGCTGTGTACCCTGCCCCGTGACCTAAACACTTGCCGTGACCTTTGCTACCCTGCCGGTTCGTGACCTTTGTTAGCTACTGTCGTGCTCTGGCCATGCCCTGCCGTTCCCATCTTCCGTGACTTGACCTCTTTTGGACCCATGTTGGGTCTTCTTCATGTCCTGGATATTGCCCTGATTATCTCTTACCTGCGGCCTACCATGCCTAGTGGCAGTGCTGGATGAAGCTAGTGCGGGGCCTGTAGTATATGTTATAAAGGGGCCCTAAATAAAAAAAAATATTAAACAGATCCATTTTTATCTTGCACAGTAAAGTAATTGTATTTTTTCATTTGCTATACAGCCAGATAATACGACAAATCGCTAACCTTAAACACCCAGTCGTTCATAAAAGTTGAAGGCGGTACAGTACTATAGTAATAGAGCGAGTGTAGAATCACTGAAGGGGAATTTATAGCTTGAAAGCATTTAGCGCGGGGCCCTTGAAAGTGTGGGGCCCGTAGCTACTACATTTGTAGCTACTTTTGCTACTGGGATAATCCGGCACTGCCCATTGCTCTGCCCACAGTGCCTTGTTTACCTCGCGCTCCCTTGTACATGGGGTGGTCTTTCTTTGGTCCAATTCGTTCGTGCGATGTCCGGCCAGCCCGCCACCCGACTCCAAGCAATGCCCTCCTCCCTGCCCTGGTCAATGCCCTACTCTGGTCCGTGACGGTCTGCCCTGCTCAGCCCCTTGTAGAATCAGAAAACAGTATGTACAGCAATGCGAATACAAAGTGCTTGTATTGCACCAAAGTGCTCTGTGCTGAAAATTCACGAAGTCCCGCACTATTTTGCTGTACGAATTCATCATTAACGCGATGCACGTTTCCACGGTCGCATTCGTCATTCGCGAACATTACATTACCGTGACAATGTTCTGAGCTCGATGCGTGCTGCCTACCCTAAGATGCACGTCTTGAAGTGGTGTCCATGGGCACTGGATCCAAATGCGTCGGGCGGTCAAGCATGAGCAAAGCCGGTAAGATGCCCCTTTTGCACTGGTAATGCAAGTTGCTCACTCATCAGGCTGGTTTTGAGATCAGCAAGAGGGTTTTTACACGGACGTATGTACTATATGTTGAACTTCTTTCGCACCGTATGTTTGCCAACTGTGCTCTAATCGGAGGTGCAGGGGGAAAAACAACAAACTTAACACAAAAAGTAGTTCTAAAGAAATTAGTTGTCAATCTAGATTTAAAAGTGCATCGCTCGACTGGCTTCCAAATATCGGAAGAGCGTTCCAGACGGCCGCAGAAGCGCATTTGAAAGCGCGCGATGCAGTGGGCCAGTCTTTGTCCGATGGTACTCATTTTAAAGTAATGTTGCCCGTATTATGAATGATAATGTAGCCTTGGTAATATGAACTTGTCAATAGCATAAAGGTGGCCCTCAAACAGGGCTGACAGCTCTGTGTGTTTGATGTTCACGTGCTCCCTTCGAGTATAAAGCCACATGTCTCTGTGTTTTGTTGTGCAGGTGACGTTTTAAATGACAGCCACGCCGAGGTCATAGCGCGGAGGGGATTCTTGAGGTGATCTTGCACAGACCCAAACCCTGCTAGGGGTGGCTTACAATAGATGATGAGAATGATGACTTAAGCATCTAATGATTTTCAACCTCATGATTCGGTTCATGTATAGATCGTATAATGGTTAATATATATTTCTTTGGTGGTTGCAGGGATAACATTAATCTATTAATTGTAAAATTAGTTTTGTCAATCCACTGCTAGATGAGAGCCTCCTTACACCGTGCAGTTCTTGAGAGTTATTTGAGAACACTTCTCCACGCTAGTCGGTGCAGGTTGTGTAGGCGAGGAGAATAGATGTGGGAGGATAGAACTACAATGCAACATTGTATTTTGCTGCAATTTCCTCTAAAGCCCACGATATACCCCCAAAGCCTTTAATGGCTGTTGTGTAAGATGGTCACCCATCGAAGCACAATTCAGGCCAAAACCTGCTTAGCTTAGCTTCCAAGACCAGATGAGATTGGGCACATTCTGGGTAATTTTGTGATAGCCTTACAAACTATTTGCATAAAAAGAGTCGATTCCTTACACTTCGGATTTGGTGCATTTATCATGAAAGCAATAATCGGTTTTATTCGACGAATCAACGCTTTCATATATTCCCAATAATTGATGTTTTTTATTCAAAGACTAGTAGCTCATGAAGCCTGTCTTCACCAGGCAAAAGTTTTCAATCAATATGATTAACCTGATATGATTTTTTTAGAAATCTATGATTAGACACTAACAACTACTCCAAAATGTATTTTTACGCAAAAAAAATCTAAAGTTGTTGACTTGATTCAACTTTTTATATTTAAAGATGTACCCAACAGAAACCACTCAATGTAAATATTCCATTCTTTTTTTTATTAGAAATAACACAAAATAATGAACCGAATTCTAAGGGGAAGCTCCTATCTTTTACCGTTTTCGAATTATTCAGATTTTAACATCATAAAATTCCTATTTTTTCATCCAAAACTGCTTGAATCTGAAATATCTCAAAAACATTAAAAGATAGAACAATGGTTCTCGCTTGAATTGTATTTGCTGTTTAATGCTCTGTCAAAAGAAAAAAAACCCGCAATATATTTTGAATGGTTTCTGAGTGACAAACATTTTTATGAGGCACTTAATATCGAGATTTGGGGGCGTTAAAATGAAAAATCATGATTTTTCATGTTGTTTGTGTCCTAAAAGCTACGTACCGAAATTTCAGCTTTCTAACTTGTCGGGAGTACCCTAGAGGATTTGAGATACACATAGAGATTAATGTCTTTATGTCTACAGATAGTGACAGTGGTTTGATGATTGAATTGTTCACTGTGATGGTCACAAGGTTGTCAGCGGTTGATTGGTCGAGGGGCATTTGACTGCGAGCTGCTTGAGCTACATCACCGGTGTACAAACAGCTGTGATCAACAATCGTTGCTGTTTACACACCACGACTTAATGGCAATGCAACTCTGTCGTACCTCCACCAGGTACCTTTACCACGAGGTACGCCTGGCGCTAACCGGTGGGGAGAGTGCAGTTTTCACACCGTGCCCCGACACCGGCAAGTGCATTCTGCATCCTGGAGCTTCCTTCGTGTTCTACACCAGCCACACGCCATGTACGCTCAATATACCGTAACACACTCCCTAGTCCACTTTACTGTTGTCTGCTACAGATATTGGTTATTCATAATAAAGGTTTTTGGGTTAGATCGTGTAAGTATAAATGTGTCGTAACCCTCTACCACCCGACACAGCCAATTAGTAAGGGATTTGTCACAATAACAAAACACCAAATAGTTACTACTTCAGTCCACCGGTGTGTTGGAGAGTAAATCCACAACATTTACAATTTGAGTACGACGTTTCGCTGGTAATTACATCCAGCATCATCGGCGATTTGCCCGATGATAATTACGATTTGCCCGATGATGCCTGATGTAATAACCAGCGAAACGTCGTACTACTCAAATTGTAAATGTTGTGGATTTATTCTCCAACACACCGGTGGGCTGAAATGCTAACTATTTGACGTTTTGTTTACGTGAAAAAGCCCTTACTAATTGGCTGTGTCAGATGGTGGAAGGTTACGACACATTTATACTTATGCGATCTAACCCAAAAACCTTCATGAATAATATTGGTCGCGAAAGCCTACGTGTTAAACAGATGTTTGTTAATCTAATGCTGAAGGCCTCCCTGTGCCATATTGCTATTGGGAGTTGTGTGACCATAGTTCATCACGCTGGTCAATGGAGGTTGCTGAAGGAGGTGGGGCGGTAGCCAGGATTAGGTTAATAATTAGCTCACCAATCCTAACCATGGGCAGCAGTCAAACTCGGGTCACTAAGTTCATAGTACAGTGTGTTGTCCACTGGACTACCACTCCCAAACTAGTGCAATGGTTCAAATGAACCTCGATGATAGTGCACATCCATACTTTTTTTTAGTGTTAGTTTGTTATCCTTCCCCGCACCTCCAATTTAGCACGGTTGGCTACGTATGCTGCGAAATAAGTTATACATACATACTGAACAATACCAGAACGTTGTCATTATATTCAAATAGCCCTGGTACATATTAAGCTGTGTGTCCCAAGATGTTCACAATGGATTTCAATACAGAAAAAAAATACTTTAAAACTATGTGAGTGATCCTCACCACGATAATATATTGAACAGAACAGGAATGACCCCGCAGTGACATCAGTACATTGCGCCTGTGAGTTATATATATAAAAAAAAACATCTTATTAAGACAATTTCAAACTTGTGTCGACCCTCCCAAAACACGCTCATTTACACATGAGTGCGTGTCGTAAGATAATACCCAGTGCTGCGTGTGCCGAGTAGGTGGGGACGCCTCAATCGTGCCGATGGATGAAGAGACATCGACACAGCTCCGGCTCAAGCGTAATCCCACACCAACATCTGATACTCCAACCATGATGCCTGTACAATCGGAGAGTAATGACCAGGACCCTCGGAGCAAAAGAGACATTGAATTCAGCCACTCAGGAAAGAGAAAGACGGACACAATCACTGCATCCTTGCCATCAAAAATACAAAAAGTCGATAGCGCAGCAAATTCGACTGGCGCGCAAGTTTCTCCGGAGAATGACATCTGCGACACCTCCGTTCGGAACAGACCACCAGTTCTGCCCGTGCTCGACATCCATCGAACCGGTGCCAAGTGTGCCCCGGGCGAGGACGGAGACCCGCTGGCGCCGGGTTTGCACTACCATCGCGAAGGAGCCCTGCGCCTGAAGCCAGGCCGCGGTGAGCCCACGCTGTCAATGAGCTGCAGCGACAAGCTGGCACGCTGGGCTGCGCTGGGCTGCCAAGGAGCACTACTCTCCCACTTTCTGGTGGCGCCCGTCCGCCTGGAGACCATCGTGACGGGCCACTGCCCCTACAGCCACGCCGCTATGGACCGCGCGATTGTGGGCAGGCAAGGAATGGGGTGGGGGGGTAATGGTTGGCTGCTTCCACTATCCCAGGGGGGCGGACGCATCGTAATGTAGCAGCAGCCTCAGTTCACCGCAGGATTCATGTATTACCTCCCGTTGCTGAGGCCACCTCCCATGGTTCTGTAATGTGATGTTTGGAGTCCGATTTTTCTTGTTTCAATTCAGCATCACGGGCATTTTCGTTGCCTTTCATGTCGTCAGTGGAAAAACCCCCCATTAATATTCATTATTGTAAGGGAAAACTACAATATTTATAGTTATTTAAATGCAGCTGTAAAGAGGTATCACAAACAGAAATACCTCTAAATATTTGAACAGTATCTTTCATGTTAAAATTATTTACAAATAATTTACAAAGCAAGGCTTGCTTGAGAAGTCTGAGAACAATAAATTATCGATTTGTAATAAAAAAAAATTCTGTGCACACTATTGTAAAGCACTCTGAAACCGCGTGGGATGTTCACGTCCCACAGCTGACGCATGCACCTACAGTATGGGGGTGGGGGGGGGATTGTCGTGCTGTCATGTGGATGGGTTCACAGATGCCCCTGTGTTTGTCTATGGCATGGGTCGGCAACCGATGGCTACGGAACCAAAGGCAGCTCTTTGGGGACCGATTCGTGGCTCCTGACGCTATAATTGCAAAGAGAACAAAAACCCCACCTAATTATTTTCAATAAACGGTGAACGCCTAAAAGCACAACAATGATTTGAAATGTGGAATTACAAATAATTGTACCGCGTGTTCTTAAAGTGGTTACAAAAATTATGGTTTAATGTTATTCACGAAGTACCGTCCCGTATTCACATACATTGCAGCTCTGGAAATATTTTTTTTTTTTACCGAATTCGAAAATGTCTCTTCTTGTTATTTTGGTTGCCGACCCCTGGTCTACGGGGACAGGTGGGGCTCGGCAGAGTGCACCACTGCTGGGTTCGGGGTGCGAGACGTTGTCCTCCTGCAGTCCCGGCTGGAGTTCGAGTCAAGCCGGGCTCGAGTGGAGGCGACTGCCCCTCCGGATGGAAAGGCACGGATTGGGCCCTGTGCATCCGGTGACTTTTGCCAATCACAGGCACAGCCCTTATCTGTCGATTTAAAGCTTTCGTGACTGCAGGGATTCATCTTCTTGGTTCTTTCGGTAAAGTCACGTAGAAGGGAAATAATAAAATAAAATAATTCTCACGACGTTTCGGCCACAACGCAAGCAGCCGTCCTCAGGTGAAGACCAGGTCTGTCGGGGAGACAGCGTCTGTCTCCCCGACAGACCTGGTCTTCACCTGGTCTTCACCTGAGGGACGGCTGCTTGCGTTGTAGCCGAAACGTCGTGAGAATAATTTTATAATGTTTTATTTTTATTATTTTATTATTTCTCTTATACTTGACTTTACCGAAAGAACCAAGAAGATGAAGCCCTTATCTGGTCACAATCATGGGCTCATTCTGGTTAGGACGTTGTTTTGCTGATACTGCTACTTGCTTGCTGCTACTGCTACTTGCTTGCTGCTACTGCTATTACAAAAATGCACAATTAACATAGGGAAATTCTGTGTATACAAAATATATATAACAAGGCAGAAGTTGTATTTGATGGTAGGTGAGCGTTGTGGCACATTTATAATACCTCAAAAAAGGAAGAGGTGAAATACCCTCGAGGGAGCTCTCTAGAGCTCCCTCTAGTGGAGAGGCCCTTCTGCCACCAGTGGCATGAGCAAGCAGCTTCAGGGCTGCATCGTGACAAATAAACACTCAACCAACCTGGCTCTGTTCCATGTCAACAGGGCTTCCATTCCAGGCTTCATGATGCATAAACAGGATACATGCAAGCGCTGCCAAATGCACCATTCACCATAAATTGTGCCTGCGAACCAGCCTCTATTTTTTTTAAAATGGGGAAAATTCAAGAAACAGTTGTTTACAATTGGCTCAAAACACTATTACCTGCGGTTGACCTTTTAAAATGTTTCTAAAATTGGATGCAATGCACTCAGAACTAAATATTTCCAGAACAGCTTCATTTGATCCCTGGCAGGCAGTACGAAACAACTTCTTGGTTCTTTCGGTAAAGTCACGTAGAAGGGAAGTAATAAAATAATAAAAATAAAACATAATAAAACAATTCTCACGACGTTTCGGCCACAACGCAAGCAGCCGTCCTCAGGTGAAAACCAGGTCCGTCGAGGCGACAGAGTCTGAATGAAACAGCACACGGGCTTGGAGCATATATATAAGCTGGGCGCATTGAAACAAATCTAATCTTCATGAGGCCTCCTTTGCCAGTACCAAGATTTAAGAATAGGTTCTTCCCCTTTCTTCTGGCAACAAAACTGAAACCTTTTTACAAGGATTCATGTCTGTATTAACCACAAAGCTTGTGGTCAGAATGCAAACAAAAAACACTGATAATATATGCATTGTCTTTGAAACTGATTGGGCTACACCAGAGACAGCTTTATTTTGAGCCGAATCTTTTGGCGTCCTCTGGTCGAACACTGTTTGAGACGAGGCTCAAAAGAAAGTTGTCTCTGGTGTAGACCAATCAGTTTCAAGGACAATACATATATTATCAGAGTTTTTTTTTTGCATTCTGACCACAAGTATTGTGGTTAATGCAGACATGATTCCTTGTAAAAAGGTTTCAGTTTTGTTGCCAGAAAAAAGGGGAAAAACCTATTCTTAAATCTAATCATGCCTTGTTCCCAAGGCAGGTGGTGCAGATCTGGCAAATGTGATTTTAATGGTGGGAATGCTGAAGGAGTGAACAGTTGGAGGTCACGTATGTTTCATTTTGCTAAGTCGTGCCTCGCCTTGCCCGTGCGGTGGATCCTTGTGTGTGGATGCAGCTGTAAGCTGGTGTTCCGTGCCTTCAGCGCCCCTTGAGGTCTCCGTCAATGGGCACCGACAGGGAGTGACCAAGAAAATGCTTGGAACGCCGAAGGCAAGGTGAGCATTGCTTGAAACACTAAGAAGAGAAAAAACTGTTCAAGAAATAATACGTAAAAGCAATGAAGAGCTTTTAATATACTACATTTGCATGTGTTATTTTACTGTTGTAATGTATTGGATCTATGGTATTGTTTTGGGTTGTAGCACAGAACAGAGTACAACCCAAAATATATCAGAGGGCTTGTAACGAGTATAAAATGTGGTTGTCTGCATTGTGTGCGTGTGCTTTGAATGACAAGGTGTAAGATTTGCAAGCTGGAGCTGTTTAATGAATTTAAGAATTTAAAGGATTCCATTCCAAAACACAAACTCCCAGAATCTCTCAGGTGAGACATAATAGTCCCATCGCTGTCTGGTGTGGTCACAGTGAATTCCGCTTGCTGAGATATTAATGATATGTTGACATCCACACATTCAATACACAGACATGCACACCCACATGCCATACATTTCCACTAACAAGACAGCTGTGTATGGATTATAAAACCCAATAAAAATGACTGTCATGTAACCAAACAAGCTTCAAATATGCATCACATTTACATACATTGGGCAGACTGCCTGTAAGTTCATGTGAATCTAATTGGTTGCTGTTTTTGTCCCCAAAATTGTGTACAGGGATCCGGAAGGAAAGTTGCATAGCTACTGGGACTACAAGCAGGCAGCGATGGACTATCAGACAGCCTGGGTTGAACTCAGGAGCAAGGTCTTCTGCACATGGGTGTCATCACCCAGAGAGTATCTTGACTTCACCTAAGCCATGACTTGAAGTGGACTATATGTAAAGCTGTTTTCTTAAAAGGTTAGCACGACCCAGATAATCTAGTTATTCTTTTATCGATTCGTACATTTATGCCTTTGACCAAATTACTCACAATGCGCCCAATCTCATTGGATCTCTGAAGATAAACAGTTAAGCCTGGTTCGTGCTTGGATGGACTCTTGCACAGAAATGCGCTTAAACAAGGTCTCTACATTTACATGATCGGCATTAGTTGTAAAGCTTCGTTCATGAGAAAAAGATTTAAAAATCACAGGCATATTCTCTTGATTCCACTGTACAAAGACTGTAATGACAGTAAACGTGGGGGAATCATGCTGCAAAGATGTCAGTGCTGTATAAAGCTTCGGACTCATTTTCCTAACAAAGCTTCAACGTTTGTTGTACACCTCAGGACACACAACCTAAATGTTTTTTGGGTTACATCTTTATGGAGTATGAAGACGTCTAGAATGCAAGCTCAGTGTAAATCCTGGACTATCGTGTATGGTTTCCAACATGCATATGTACACATTGCCTTGGTCCTAGTGTATCAGATGGATCAAACAAATGCAGATAAAATGCTGTAAATTTTCCAACAATTAAACTTTCAACTAGTTCACAATGCCTGGTTTATTAAGGCATTTAAAGCATCCTTAAATGATGTTACAACTTTCCACAATACATATTTCATTTACTTTATACAGCTACAATGTGCAATGTGATGAAAACCACCCAGATGTGTTTGCTAATATCTGACTTCCCACTGTGATGGTTTAAATTTCTATATTAAAAACGTTACATTTTATTCATGGACGCAAGTGAATTTCCACGCTGTACTTTTTTTTTTACTTATATTGGACGTACATTTAGACAATCAAGAACTCGGCAACAGGAATTGACAAATTGCAACATCTTCATCACGGTTTAAATTAGGATTATTTAAATAGGTGTCATCATGCAGGAATACATATCATTTTTTTATTCTATTAATATTTTTTTTACAGATTGCAGCATGTAACTCGAACATAAACACAAATAAAAATACCTGTAATATGCACAGCAAGCACGTATATACGTGAATGTGAACCTGGGTGTGAAATAAGCATTCAGAAAAACCGGGTGAATACTCAGTCCACAAAGTGTAAGAAACAAAATAGACAAGACTGAAATATTATAGAAGTAAAACTTGAGTAAAAAAAAACGTGGGTTGTCAGATGCCAGGCAGATTAAACGCTAATGGAAAAAAGCGCATATATCCATGAATCATTTTGCACAAAATTCTAACACCAATTTAGTACACAAGTTTTAAACAATCTCAACATTCCACTGTTAAAACCGCGCCCTGTCCTGAAGCGTAAATGCATGGCTGACATGCCGCGACACTGCACATCTTTTAACGAGCGTGTTGATTTTGGGGAGAAAGTAACGTGGATCATTAACTGCAGGCTGCGGGGTTTGGAAGGTAATTCCGTCTTGGTTGTGGTTTTGTCCTGCGTTGTTGGCGAAGTGGTTCTTGCAGTGCACTCCGCAGACTGGCCCGGGATCAGCGTCCAAAGGTGTTTTCTCCACTGTAGGCAACGTACAGGAAGCCGTCTTCATCCTTCTGGTCTTCATATAATTGGCCAATGGAAGCACTGGACACAAGGATATGGTGTTAATCATTATCATCAATTGACTGGTGGATAAAGGCCTCCCTCCCCTAAGCACTGGCCATCTCTCACAATGTTGAGATGTGATAATCCACCAAGCAGAGGGGGTCGGCAACCATCGGCTCTGGAGCCACACGCGGCTCTTTCAGGAGCACTTCGTGACGTTATTTATTAAAGGGCCGTCTTGTATTGCATTAAAATATGTTTGAAACAATTTAAAGGGTCAACCACCTTTGTTATTTTCTAATGATGGCATTTAAACTTGAATCACTTTATACAGTAAAACCAGGGTATTGTTAAAATTTCAAGAATTTTATTTTCAGTTTCCATTTAGAACTGGATAATCAAGGTACAAGTATCTAAAACCAACCCAAAGAACAAAGCTTTTGCAGATAAGCACCTAGGCTACATGCCCTGGACTGCCCAACATTAGTATGAAGCTTCATGAAACAATCCTAAAAAGTTACTTTCACTGCTATAGCAAGGTAAACATTTCAGAGTTGGGAGGATAAGATATTCGTGCAGAAGTCAACATAATGATATAACCAGAACCTATTTTAGTCATCTAAGTAGTCAATACTTTCTAGCGAAGGTTGAAATCATTAAATAATTATCCATCTGTAACCAGAGGGGAAAACGTTCATAAAGATGATCCAATATAAATAATGTCATAAACATATACAGTATAGATTTTCTGTTACTAATAGGGTCTTACTCCAGGGAAAACCAACCAAATTTTATCAAAATGGTGGCCAGAAATCACAATGTATTTGCATTCAGAGCCAAACTAGTGATCCTATTATGTATGACAGTTGCATGCGCCATTGTGCTATAACATGTCGTGCCATCAAGTGACATCACTATGGACGAGAGCCCCACCCACAGCGCACTGTCTTTTATTGATCTATTGATGGGAAGCTTCCTGTTAAAATTTTACCAATAATGCAGACATTACATTTCATAGACATGTTCTAAGATTATGGAAAATTACAGGACTCTGAGCTCATGTCATTCACTGCCTTCAAGAAAAATCTGTAAGAGAATCCACTTCAACTGGTCTCATGCACAGCATCATAGACAGGTATTGTTTTATTTGGTGTGTACGGTATGATGTTTGGCATGGTATGACACACCTTGACTGTGGCACTGTCTTGTCTATGAACAGAAAGATGGCCTTGTCAGAAGGCAACTGCACGCGCTTGCGAATGATCCACATGAACTGTGCCACCGTAATGTCGGCTGGCACCAGGTACTTGCGCTTGTCAATATCTCCGATCTGGGAGCCAGGGACTTTCTCCACCACGACCTGAACATACACATCCCAACATGGAGCAAGCACAGATTAAAAACCAGCAAAGGCTGCAGCAGTAGTGCCTCCCCTCCCCGAGGTCTACCATTCTACTTTTGGTCTGGGTTTTTCTGGTGCAGTTATATCAATAATTGCAAATTATTTACGAGATTAAAACCAGCAAATGGTGTACGAAGGGCAAATGTTTAACTGATACCTGACTTTGTTTCCATTCAAAGGCTGTGCTGTTGCAGATGGTTGTGTTTCTCAGCGTGTGATTACAACACTTTCATCGAACTGGTGTCTTGCAAATAGCAATTGCTAACATTTGTATTTATGTACCAGAGCCATTGAGAATACAAGGTACATTTTACACTGTGTAGTCGCGTAGAAAACGGTCTTGCAAAAAATGTGGCTTGAAAATGTTTGATATGGATTTTTTTCGCCTATTAAAACACTGAACAATACTGTAAACACTAGATACCATAGATGGCCTTGGGAGTATTTTTCAAGGGAGCTCTGTATGCAATCACCAGCCATTGTCCAGTATTTGTCATTGTCCACATTTCTGCTCCGCATCATAGCTGTAGTGCATATACTTCACAGAATATATACAAATACACATTTGCATTACTTCTGTAGCCACCCACGTGTTTGGCAAATGTTCTGTAATTCGGTAACGAACCAAGAATATCTCTTTCTTCTTCGTCCTAGCGTTGTTCCGCTGTGGCGCAGGGTCCGCTTTTCGGCATTGTTCTTCTTGGCCCTTTGGCTCGTGTCCAGGGCATCTTCCAGGGATGCGTTGACCGTCTTCATGTCTTCCTTTATTCGGTTTTCATATCCATCGCTTCTTGGACGTCCGCGTGGGACGGCGGTGCACTCTGGCTCACTTACGCACGGCAGTCTGGCCAACTGATGACTCTTCACTTCGCAATCACATGGCCGTACCACCGAACGCCTTGCCTTCAAGCATCTTGGTCCAGCAAGTGGGGCCACACCAAGTCGCTTACGAACGTCTTCGTTCCTGACACGATCCCATCGAGTGAGGCCTCGAGGCTCCATCTGAGCATCTCATCTCCGTGGTGTGGAGAGCTTTGTTCGTGCTACAGTTGTGGCTGGACAGCACTCGGATCCATAAGAGTTGCCACCGGTCGGGACGATGGTCTTGTATATTTTTTCCCTTCAGGCCTATCCGGGCATTTTCCGGACACAGCGGACTCTGGTGACTTGCATCCAATTTCATCCACCGCTGCATTGACTCGTGACTCACATCAGTCGTGATTCGCTACCATCTGAGCTGATGGTGGAGCCCCGGTCTTAAGTCCGTCACTTTCTTCAGATCTTCTCCGTCAATACTGATGGTGCCGTCGGTTTGGGGGCCACACTCCATATACTCCGTCTTTTTGATGTTGAACCTCATCCCGTTTTCGTCCAAACGTAAAGAACCAAGAATAAGGTTTGCAATATCAAACAGTCCCATCGTGAAGCTCACTAGCCGGCCTAGAAAGAGGCCTTAAAACCACAACTGCTACCAAATAATTGATTAACGTTTATTCCCTTCGGTTCACGTGCCACACCATATGCCACCCTTTTGTCAATTGGGTCGCAAGGGAATATTTGTCCACACGTCACCCACGCTCGTTTGTGCGGGTTAGTGAAGGGGGGCACAGCATTAGGCATGGGATGACAGCACAATTTCCATGTGCTGACCTATATCCACCGATGAATCAAGAGTCCCATTTTGAGACTCTCTTGCTGGTCTAGAATTGAGGCCCTCCAGTCAGCCAAAATGGCATTCAAATCCACGACTGTTAAACACAAAGAACATGTCACCTAAACAACAGAAGTCGTTACTACTATATTGTACTAGGATCACCGCCACCACTATCCCGTAAAATGTTCACTTTATATATATACCCCGACCCCAGTTTGCTACGAATAATGTACTTAAACAGAGTAGTGGCTAATCACACGATCATAAATAAGCTTATGCGGCACTGGGGCCGTGTAGTGCTTACGCAAGCAGAACGTGCAGGGCAAATGGATACCTGAAGCGATTGGAAAGACGACAACAACGGTACAATAACGACACGACAGAGGGCATTTGTCGATGAACAATGGCTTTGACTCGTCGATTATTGCCTTCATTGGGAAGACAACGACAAAATGACAGCACCTTCTTCACATTTCAACATTATTCGCAGAATCGTCAAACAAGGCGCGACCTTCAACCCAACTTATGGGTTTGCGTTAGCATCGGAGTGCAATACAACAACCACCACAACAACAACAACCACCACAACAACCACAACAACCACCACCACAACAACCACCATAACAACCACAACAACCACTACCACAACAACAACCACTACCACAACAACCACCACAACAACCACTACCACAACAACAACAACCACCACCACAACAACCACCACAACAACAACCACTACCACAACAACCACCACCACAACAACCACTACAACAATCACAACAAACACCACAACAACCACTACAACAACCACCACAACAACCACCACAACAACAACCACAACAACAACAACCACTACCACAACAACAACCACCACAACAACCACAACCACCACAACAACCACAACAACAACAACCACAACCACTACCACAACAACAACAACAACCACAACCACTACCACAACAACCACCACAACCACCACAACAACCACCACAACAACCACCACAACCACTACCACAACAACCACCACAACCATCACAACAACCAATACAACAACAACCACTACAACAACAACAACCACCACAACAACGAAGCATAACGCTCCAACATACGTGTGGCTCTAAACAAACGATTGCGTGACGTTCATCTTTTAAAATCCTGCACGGGTCAAAGTCGCACGAATGTTCACGTTACACGTCTGCTCGGGGTTGGCGAAGACACTCAGCACCGCTGTCACACATCGGGCATGACGTCGGCACATCAACAACAACATCAACATCACCATCAACAACAACAGCAGCAGCAGCAATGAACAAAAGGGTGATATTGCGAGTTTAAATGGCACCGTTTAAAGGGACAGTTTAAAGGGACGCGCTCGCCCCGCGTGTGTGACATTATTACCCTTCGGTCGCCAATACGATTGGGGACAGGGTCGGCTCTGCCGTCGGGGACAATAGCAACACGGTTTCTGTCGTCTTTTATCGCCGAGAGAGAGAAAAAACCCCGACTGCGAGAGATGAATATTGTGAGTAGAACACAGCAAACATCGTGATCATCATCATCGTCGTCGCGTAACATAAACACACAAGCGACAGGAAAGGCATAAAGCACAATTATATTGTATTGTGTAGATACACAAAAAACACCGCAACGATGACATCAACAAATACAACAACAATCGCGACGATAAACGAGACTCATTCGTGGTACCAAAGGAGTGGTCTTCCTTAAACATCCACTTCATAGCAGCGGTATATTCCTGACGATGGGAGTAGCTTGTAGTTGTGTGGCTCCGCGATGGTGGTGGGGTGGTTGTTGTTGTTGTGGGTGGAGGCGACGATGGTGGTGGTGGTGTTGGGGTGGGTGGCTCTCTCAGGACCTTGCGGATGCTAGACTCTTTTTTTGCCGCATATGGCTCCATGTGCCAGCGTGGATTTGCCGACTCCACGCCTGAATTTGCCGACTCCACGCCTGGATTTACGGACTCCACGCCTGGGTTTGCCGACTCCACGCCTGGATTTGAGTACTCCACGCCTGGGTTTTCCGAATTCACGCCTGGATTTATCGAATCCACGCCCGGATTTGTGGAATCCACGCCCGGTTTTGCCGAATTCACGCCTGGCTTTACTGACTCCACGCCCGGCTTTGCCCACTCCACGCCCGGTTTTTCCCACTCCACGACCGTCTATTCCGACTCCATGCCCGGCTTTGCCTACTCCACGCCCGTCTATTCCGACTCCACGCCTGGCTTTGCCGACTCCACGCCCGGCTTTTGCTACTCCACGCCCGGTTTTTCCTACTCCACGCCCTGCTTTGCATACTCCACGCCATGCGTTGCCAACTCCACGCCCGTCTATTCCGACTCCACGCCCGGCTTTTTCCGACTCCACGCCATGCTTTGCCTACTCCACGCCTGGCAATCCGGGAGGCTTAACAGCGGGAGCTTCTTGAGATTGAATCTCGCAGTCAATGGGGAGGAAGCATTATACCCAATGCGGTGTTGCTATGACTGCATACAGTTTACGCAATGGGATTTGTTTCGTACACCAGCAATTAAAGTGATGTACAAATGTACACCGTTTGTAGATGTGGGTGTAGATAGCTGGATGTAAGCTGTCACTGGCATGATTTAAAATATGTTAATAAGATAAACAACATACTGTGTATACAGAAGTTGTGTTATTTATATACACGTACAAGATGTAATAACACTACTACTGTAAGTTAATATATATTTTAAAATTATTCAATGTATATGGTAACTTCATTTTATTCACGCTGAGATCAGCCATTTAATCTCGATATCCATTTCAACCCGAAGGGTAACTTGTTGACCAATTAACAGTATTACTCTGCATGTATTTTAGAAAACAATTGAGTGTTTGGTTTGGAATTAGCTTCTATAACCATATGCCACCTCTGATGAGGCGCTTGAAACACCAGAACATAGGAATTAAAATGACGTGATGTACAAAGTAATGTCTGACTTTTTTGGAATTAAAGCTCAATATGTAGCAGATGCCGGTCTGGAAATCTCCATCCAACAGCATGTACCAAATTAACAACAACGGAGTTAACTTCAGCAATTTACACATTGACATAGCTGTGAACAGTTTGCTTAATTTTAATAGTTTAGAAAAACCATCTCGAAGGCAGGGCCATAGAGAGTGGGGTGAGGCTACTGGGGGCATTTTGCTTAAAGCCTCCAAAAACCTCTTGAGATGACCCTGGCTTTAGAGACATCACGGGGCCCTGGTTACATTCTCTCTGAGAAAGTCGAGTAAACACAACAAAGGGCCAACAGGAGACAATAGATGTCTTAATTAAGAATTAAGGATTTAGGAAGGGTTAATGGGTGAATTTTTTAAAAGGTGTTTGAGTTCTGTAGGAGGCCTCTGTGCAATTCTTTTTAGGAAGCCTTGGTGAGAGCTCCATGCAACATTGTGTATTTGTAGAGATTTGACTGCTGAGATAGTCTGCTGTGGAGTGGTCTTGCAAACTAATAGTGGTAGGGCTGGACACACTGGATATTTCCATTGAAATGTGATCGAATTATCTGTTATGTGCATGGCAAATCCATGAGTGTTGTTGTTTTAATACACATAGAAAAACAAGTATATACGTCAACACCAATTCGTACCAGTGAATACACGTTTACCATTACGTAACATTCCAACATATTGCAAAATGCACGAGAATACATTTTCTATTGTGACCGTCGCACTTGATCATCCAAAAAAATGCTCTGATAAACACTCTTGAGTGGAAACGCGAAAACCAACGCAAGCATTTCGTAGCAACCAAGTCGTACGTCTTTAATATTAATAGAACACTGTATATGAGTTATCGTTTTATTTTAAGCTGCGCCGCTGTTTGGCACGTTTTAAAAAGGGCACAAAGCCAAGGGGCCATTATCTGACTCGGCCTTTCGTGAATCCACCTCTTGTTTTCTGTTTTCCTGATGTTTGCGCCGGTAAATCGCGCATTTAAAGCCACACACAAGATGTACCCCAAACTTTACAGCAGCCAACAAATATATTAACCTGGCATTTGCCACCTATTTTAGAAAGTTGCAAAAATAGACACACAAATTTGCATAGACATTCGTTTTCCAGAAAATTGTTGCATAATCATTACGCAATTATTATAGAGGCTTTAATAAATAGCGGTTAGTTTGAACAATTATCTTAATTACTGCAGTGTTAATATAATGCGTTAAAAGAGGCAGTGCATGTTACCATTTGTATTATCCACTACACATAAACCAAACTCATGAAACGCCTCTTCTGATTGGCTGGTAGAGCGGGTACAACGCTGCCTTAGCCAATCGAAACCAACGATAGCACGCGCGTTTCCCATGCATGCTACGAAATTGGAGCGGTTAAATAAAAGTGCAATTTGCATAAATTCGTCTTCTTTCTCTTCGATTTTTTTCGGTAAAGTCACGTAGGTAAAAATAAATAAATATATATAAATAATTATAGAAACACAAGTCTCCGTCATCAGGTGGGACCGTCACAGATACAATTACTGTATCAAGTGAGGCAAAATTCCAAGATACAAGCTCTTAAATACAAGTTAAGGGGGAGGGGGAGGGGCTTATCTGAATGTGGTAGCCAATGAATGGAACGTGTTGGGGGGGGGGGTGGGCCGGGCTAAAAGAGAACAATAGGTGCACTTGGGGTTGTAACCGGTGTTGGCTGACAATCCAAATACAAAAAGGAGAGTACTGTTAAATGCTGGGGATGTCAACACTCGGTAAATAAATAATACGTATTATTTCATTTTTATTTTTACCTACGTGACTTTACCGGGAAAAAACCTAAGAGTATGAACCCTTGCAGTCACGAAGGCTTCAAATCTAGAATCTTCTTATTTCTGATGATGTAGAGAGATCACAGAGCGACAACTGCAATCTCACATTCAGCTGGTGTATCGATGTAATGCAATAGCTCAACATTGGTGCGATGCTAACTCCCTCGCCTTAAATTTCGATTTAAAGCTTTCGTGACTGCAGGGATTCATATTATTGATTATTTCGGTAAAGTCACGTAGAAGGGAAATAATAAAAATCAAACAATATAATTCTCACGACGTTTCGATTGCAACACAAGCAATCATCATTGGAACCTCATTTGCCAACTTCAAGGACAGTGCATACATTATCAGAGTTATGTTTTTTGTTTGCATTATGACTGCAGGTATTGTGATCTATGCAAACATGACTCCTTGTAAAAAAAGGTGTCAGTTTTGTTGCCAGATAAAAGGGTAAAAAAAAAACAATTATCGCAAGCAATCATCATCAGGTGTGAAACCCACAGCCTGCTGTTGTGTATTTGAAGTTTGCGGTGTCTCTATCCCCGTGGTCGCGTGGATTTTTGGGTCCTCCCGTTTTTCCCCTCCACATTTAGAAATATGCGTCTCGATCATTTCAATTATTTAGCTGATATAAATTTCCACACGATGATAGATAAGCCACTTGGTTTAGCTGTCGTTTGTGGCCAGGTCGCTTCTGAAAAAGCTAAATAGCTCAGTGGGCCTTACCTGGTGAAATAAAAAAATATGTAATTGTATTTGTGTATATATATTTTTGTTATCTATTTAGCTTTACTTTAAACGATGTATTAAATTTCTTTATTTGTTCACATTTCCTATACTTTGCAATCCTATCGTTTTTTTATATTTGTTCTCACGTCCAATTGAACATCTGCGACAAAGAGCTTTACAGCTCATCGGATTCCTCGCATTAATATTCTGAGCCTGCCCCCATTGTATTTGGTAGTACACACAAACCAGGCTCACCGAGACTCCCCTTCCGATTGGCTGACGGAGCGCAGCCGCGTGCCGCGCCAGCCAATCGGCACCGACGACAGAGCGCTTGCCGCTTATGCGGACTAGGAACTTTGAAGTGTATGTGCAGCAGCAATGGCTTACGAGGTGTTCTCGCACCCGGCTCTCGTTCGCTACAGGACGAGTTTCTTCTCCAAGGCGTCGCTGTTCATCGTCGCCACGCTTCTGCTCACCTACATCCCGCCTCTGCTCGTCGTCTACCGCAGCCAAGGTGGGTCGCAGATTCTCATCGCGTTTCGCACGTTTTAAACGCCAAAGACGCCTTTTGTGCGGCCCCTGGCTTTTCTGTTTGGTTTATAAAAAAAAAAGAAAAATCAGAGACTCGTTTAAAAATGTTAGCGCGCAAGAGTAAAACAACGACAACGTCACGGTATTAAAAACAAAGAGAGAAATGTTTCGGTGTAAATTGTTTAATTTTTTTGGATCGAGTTGCGGCTTAGGCAGACACGTGCAGAGGCGTCCAATCGCCGGTTACCTAGCAACTACGTAAGGCCCATGCTTTCATTATCGTCAATACAAGACCGTTTTTAATTATATCCTTTAACAATTGTACAGATTTACAACATTTTAACAGCTGTGGAAATTATTAGTATATTTTTTTGCAATGTGTAGTGACTTGTGAAATAAAAAAAACATGTTAATGTGTGCGTGCAGTGACTTAATAAGCCATCTCTATTCAATGGGCAGTTGCATCAAACACATTTTGTCAAACTCATACTCTTAGGTTTTTTTGGTAAAGTCACGTAGGTAAAAAAAAGTAATAAATAAAAATGGAAATAAAAATAATAGGAAGCATTATTTTATTATTTATATTATTAACATAATATAATAATAGAAATAATTATTTTATTTCTACTTATTTTATTTCTATTATTATTTTTATTATTTACTTTTAACTACGTGACTTTACCGAAAAAACCTAAGAGTATGAATCCTTGCAGTCACGAAAGCTTCAAATCTAGAATAAAGACATTTTCTCAAACTTATATTTGCTTTAAATTACAAACAAAGTGTAAAATTAGCCCTAATGTGTGGCTAGCTGCGTAAAACACCTTCAGGGAGTTTCACTGTCAATGAAAGCGGTGTCATTTAAAGTGAGATATCACGTAAAGTAGAATATAACGTTGTATTTAACCCGATACTGACATCTAGTGCTTGATATGCGTTATGTTTAAACATGTGCCTTACCACGAGACTATCCATGATTCAAATATCTCGTCACCTTAACCCAATGTTCTATTTGCATTGTCCATTCGGATGTGAATTACTAATCATTATATGGTGATTAGTAATATGGAAAGATTGGCCTTTTTATTTTCTTTGAAATTATCTGCTATATTTAATTCGAGCCATCAGGTAAGGAATGAAGTTTGTGAGTTGAATGTTTTTCATATTCTTGCTTCTTTAGGTAAATTTCGATTTAAAGCTTTCGTGACTGCAGGGATTCATCTTCTTGGTTCTTTCGGTAAAGTCACGTAGAAGGGAAATAATAAAATAATAAAAATAAAACATAATAAAATAATTCTCACGACGTTTCGGCCACAACGCAAGCAGCCGTCTTCAGGTGAAGGACAGACCTGTTCTTAGATAATAAAAAAGCAAAAAACCCACGACGTTTCGATCGCAACACACGCGGTCTTCATCAGGCGGAGAGAAAAGACGGGGGCAAAGCCTTCAAATGCAACTGCTTCTAAGGGCTTCCAAAGTTGTGAGTGGACGGGGGACGAGAGTTGCGAGGCAGCAGCAGCAGTAACGCTGTGTGCTGTCAACAGCAGGGGCGGGCAGCCGGTGCCGATGTCGGAGTAAAGCGCGAGATCGAGGGTGGAGGTGGAGCTGAAGGCGAGGGGCGCAGTCCACGTGTGTTAGACAATGGGGGAGGGAGTGGGTGTAGAGAGGGGGGGAGAGGGGGGGGTAGAGGGGGGGGGTGTAGATAGGAGGAGAGAGGGGGGGAGAGAGGGGGGGTAGAGATAGGGGGAGGGAGGGGGGGTAGAGATAGGGGGAGGGAGGGGGGTAGAGATGGGGGGAGAGAGAGGGGTAGAGATAGGGGGGAGAGAGGGGGTCGAGATAGGGGGGGAGAGAGGGGGGTAGAGATGGGGGGAGAGAGAGAGGGGGGCTAGAGATAGGGGGAGGGAGGGGGGTAGAGATGGGGAGAGAGAGGGGGCTGAAGGCGAGGGGGGCACAGTCCAGGCGTGTTAGACAATGTGGGGGGGGGGGGGGGACTGCCCCTCGCCATCAGCTCCACCTCGATCTCGCGCTTCACAGCTTTACTTGCTGCTGCTGCCTCGCAACTCTCGTCCCCCGCCCACTCACAACTTTGGAAGCCCTTAGAAGCAGTTGCATTTGAAGGCTTGCCCCCCTCTTTTCTCTCCGCCTGATGAAGACCGCTTGTGTTGCGATCGAAACGTCGTGGGTTTTTTGCTTTTATTTTAATTTATTTTGAATTTTAATTTCTATCTACGTGACTTTACCGAAAGAACCAAGAATATGAATTCCTGCAGTCACGAAAGTTTCAAGTCAAAATTTTAATGTTTTTCCACAATAAATCAGCAGAACATCTTGTACGACAAAATAAATTGCCGAGGCAGATGATACTACCAAAGTATTTTTTGCTTCACTTCACAAGACCTCTCATTGGTGATAAGATTGAGACCTGTCAGCTTGCTACAAATGGTACGGTTCACATTTAGATGCTTTGGAAATCCAGTTATCAATGTATTGAGACTGGCCTAAACTCAATTGCCTGGAGAAACAAAAATGCAGCGGATCAGCAGTGCCAGTAGCTGGCACATTATCCAGGAAACATGAACCTTGCCAGCAACATCTGTCTATGATTGTAGGTTTATAACGACCAAGTTAAGTGATGTGTTGTTGTTTCCCATCCCACCCTCGCTCTCCACTCACTGCGGGCATGCACTATAAGGCTTCTGGCTGAGAACAGCCTCATTTGTGGAGCAGCCGACCGTGAACTTCAACTATAACATCATGCTGCTGCTGGAGACGAGCTCAACGCCCATCGCATGGAGCACGTTCGAGAACCTCAACTCTCTGCTGCCCGAGCTGCGCACTCCTTTCGTTACCGTGCGTCTGTCCCAGCGATTCCTGAAGGAACAGAACTAGCGAGGCGGCAGGATGAAGCCCTCTGTGCTTGTGCCGAGAATATCAGCTGAGGGTTATCCACAATGCTCCGCAATCAACATGATTGGGTTTCACAATGCCGCATCGCAACTCCTGAAATAAGACTTGGAAATGTATTATCCACAATAAGACCTTAATATTCGCGGGGAACAGTTCCTGTATAGCAGCGCGAATATTTATAATGAAAGCTCATGAGGAAAATATGGTTAGGGGGCATAGACATATTACATTGAAATATATAAATTGTATGCATATATTTAAGAATACATATATTGTATAGTATTATTGTTATTTAACTCACCTTTAATGATGAACATAAACATTTATAATTCAAAATATGAATTAATATACGGTGTTATATAAACTTTTAATAATGTCAATTTATTTTCGCTAAGGGGCCACGGTTAACGATAACACAGTACGTCCGTATAGTTGGTAACTTTAGCGCACTCGCCAACTGCACCGCCCCATGCGTCGGTACAATATGTACCATACAGGGAGTCTCTATGGCCGAGAATATTTAAAGCCCGCGAATTTCAGACAGCACTACAATAAATTTGTTGCGAATATGCAAAGCCGCGATGATTAAAAACCCACTAATTTTAAGGGTATACTCTTTTGGGAGATCCATTTATTTGTGCTTATCCACATTTTCCCCTTATCCAGGGTGAATTTCCCACCACTTCTGTGTTACCACTCTTGTCCACAAAACAGCATGGCGAATAAGACGGCGTGCTTCCGGGAGACTGCTTCTGAGTGAATAGTGGTTCGGTAAAATCTGCGAATTCGTGCAGATAGTATTATTCATTTACCGCTAACTATTGCCGCCGCCAAAGTTGCGCATGGCCTGGAAATAGTTGCCTTTTTATTGTTGTGTACAGACCAAATGCATGATTTTCAACTGTGCACAGATAGCATGAATTTGCAAACTTATGATGTACTCCTTAAATCCATGGATAAGCATGGCTATTCACCCAGATGAAAGATGTATCATTTGGGGGTGTGAAAAATAGAGGTTAAGTGGATTTCCGCTGTATTTAGCAACGGGAATTCATTTATCCATAAAACTATTATGCACAGTTCACCTCGTACAACGTTTCTTTTGAATGAGCCCACAGCTGCCAAGTGAAATAATGTTTCTATGCTTGGCTGGCACAGGCGAGGGAGGAGGACGTGAATCTGGACGGAAAAGCAGACCGGTTGCACTGTTCCCTGTCCATGCCAATGAATGCTGCAGATGAAGTGGTCGGTGTGCATCTTCTGCTCACCTTTTCCTACAAGCTGTTTGTAAGCACCTCACAAACACATTTTCATTGTTGATTTGACTGTTCATGTGTGTCTGCATAAGCATATGGTCATTCTCCTGTGAATAAACAAGCTTGTCGTCTGCATGTGGGTACAGCGAATGCCCACGCTGGTGATGCAGAGCATGGCCCTGGCACAGCATTCTTCCCCGCTGCATGGCTCCGAGCTGAGCGTCAATGGAGACCTGCGTCTTCGGCAGCGAGAGCCACTTGCTCACCGTGGCCTGGACACGCGTTACAATGTACAACCAGTGGCAATGCTTTGCCACCCATCAATAACCGTTGGCTTGTCTGACTTTCCTCCCAAAATCTTATGAACAGCTGATCAGTCACCGCATACTTAAACCTGGACAAATAATTTACACATACTCGCCATATGCTGTAAGTTACTGCATACATTGCCAAGAGAGGCTCTAGTTTTAGTTTACGAAACATTTCCTTAATTATTTCCCGATAATTGTCGATGCTCCTACATTGTCGATGCAGTGTAGTTAATCTTCAGATCTAAAACAATATATGTAGGTTATCTTCAGAAGCCCAAAACTACAACAGATTAGTCCTATTGAAACAGAACTAGTTTCATTTGTTCTTAGTTACAGCCAACCTACACATAATTGACAAGTAAAGATTGTTTACACTGACAAGTAGTCACATTCTCACAACGTATACCAGTAACTATTGAATTCTATATTGTTCCTTTTCACGTTTCACTTCAGGTTTCAGTGGTCAATGGTAGCAGTCCATTTGCCGAAGCTTACGATTTTACCGAGATAATCCACGCCTATCAGGAAAGGAATGGTGAGATACTGTTCATTATACTACACACACTAGTGGTGGTGCAGTGGTTAGCACATTGTGCTGTGAACCCAGTGACCTACATTCGATATTCTGTCTTGAGCCTCCCTTTACCAACATGCACTTACCAGCTTGGTAACTATGGGCAAACCCCCATAACCCATATGGCCTTCATCCAGCAGTCGATTAAGGGCTGCAAATAAAAATGTATAAGTTGCACACAGCAGTATTACAGGTCATTGTGATGTAGATGCCACTCATACAAATGCTGGTGGACTGCTTATAGGAAAGAACTGATATCAATCATTGGTCAAGCAAGCCTAACTGCTGATAAGACACCAAATGTAAAAAACGGTAGTTTGTTCGTATTGACCCAATGCTGCTGAAATTGTGCACTCCCAGAAGGCTGTGTGTAATGTGTAAAACACTTTTACGTGGATGAGGCAATACTTACATTTTCCCCATCAAGAACCAAAATAAAGTTATTGGATTTACAAAAGGTGGGAAGAGAAAAAAGGTGATTATTTTCTATTTAAATACTAATGTCTCCATTTGTATTTTCAGTGAGTACAGTACTTGGCAACACGATGGCTATGTGGAAGTCTGGCCGAGCTGATACCACCCCCTTCGTCATTAACCTGCTCATCCGCTACCCAGAGGAGACCATCCTATATCCTTCACCATTGTACTATACTTCACATTGATGAATGCTGATAACTCGACACAGCAATTTCTACAGGAATACATCTGCAGTTAAATAATTTCAGTAAACGCGTTAACGGTTGTGTTTCTAACAGTACAACTTAATACGTTAACAGCTGTGGTCATTCATATTTACGTTGCATTATTTTTATTTTACAGCTTGCAGTATACAATGGTAAGACCTGCATGCTGCAGCCTTAGAAATCAATTCAGAATTTCCCAGTTGTATTTCCTGTCCAGTATTATCTTTCATGTTTTTTATGTTTATAATCTTTATGTATTCATGTGGTGTCATGGCTATCCATGACTCGGTGCAGCCATTCGTGTTAATTACAGTTAACCAAAGTTCTTCTCGATGCCAGCAGTAGGAAAATTATTAAAGGACCTTTTATATCCGTGCCAATTAGCAGATGGTGTGCCTAAATGTTGTCCGTGTGACACTTGAAAAGCATAGCAAGTAGCTGGCATGAGCTTCTATAAATGTAATTGTGGCGTACTTTCAGGTTTTGCCTTAACATGCTATTGACACTTACCAGCCAGGCTTCTGGGAGCAGATAAAGTTTGGCTGGGTGCAGTACGTCAGCGTTCTGCTCATCTTCCATTGGGTCTTCCAGAGAATCAAAACGTTTGTGTTTGAGAATCAGGTTCTACGAACAATCCCCATCAACCCCTTCAAAATACACCGAGCATGACAACTTTGCACAGCAGATGGCCTCTACGCTCATCAGGGACATCAGTCTGGACAATGCACTGCAACCAAATCTGTACCCATATGTTGAGCCCCTTACAAAAAAAAGATTAAAATGCTTCAGTAATTATTTTATTTCAGTGGGGACGACATTGCATGTTGCATTAAATCCAGGATGTAGAAAGAGCACAAGGCATGTGGTGTAACTGATCCACTTGCGTTCCTTAATCTTCCCACAGCAGGTGAAGTTAATTGTATTACAGGGGATAAAATGCATACAGTGGATAACATGTTTATGTTTCGTACCATATCGATGCCTTAAAGGAAACAGGGATGCAATACTGTAACCCTACTGGCATAATATTCACCGATGTAGAACGCCAGTCTTGGCAAAGCAGGACAGCTTTAGACAATTTTCTGTGAATTGTAACATGTGCCTTTATTACTATTATGGGCTCAAGGATCCTTAATGAGGTGTAAACATTGCAGCATAGAATCACAGCATCTTCTTAAGTATATTTTACATTTCACCACCCAATTACAGTTTCTAAAATTACTTAATATTTCAATGAACACCAGATCAAGAATCTTTGTTTTGTTAGGCATATGTTGTTTGCTTTATTTTCTGTTTCACACATTCAAGTTCTGCATTTTATAAATCAAGTGTGTAAGTTATTTGAACAAAAATGTTATAAATTCCTTTTGGCTCAAACATGTTTTGTAAAATTATAGTTATATTTGTGCATATACTGCATTTTTACAAGCAGAACATAAGATAGTGCATGTGTGTACACGTGGTTTTGTACTGTCAAATTAAACATTCCAAAGTTCGAAAAGCAGGTGTGTGCCATGTTCATGTGTCTGTGCATCCGTGTGTTGAATATTAGCGGTTGTCTTCTATGATTATAATGCGTCTTGGATACGTCTCCAGCTCCACAAACAGATATCGAAACTCAAACTTGCCTTTTGGAGTCTGTGAGCCAAACAAGCATACATACCTCCAGTTAATACTTGCATACGTTATTTGCAAAGGTTTATTATTTACAAAATGCAACATCAAGTATTGTTTTCATATGTATATTTAAAACAGTATATTTATTACATATAATGGCTGGCTATTGACTAAACATGTTTCGTACCATATCGATGCCTTAAAGGAAGCAAATGTTTTAGCAAATAATCATTATGTGGCGAGATACAAATGTAAATTAACAATTGACTTAAATTGCTGCTGTTATAAAGCCCTTCATATTAACACCAGTTATTTTGTGAATTAATCTGTTAATAGCTGCACAGAACTTTTTTTATTTTTTACCCCTATGAGATGGTTTAAGCAGATATGTGCACTAAATATCCTTTTCAAACTTACGAGCATCTAAAAAGTGCTCTGTAATGGGCACACTGGGTTAGTCCAATGCAACATTTCCATGACCAATGGAAAACTGGGCTTAGCGGCCCAGGTTAATGTTTTTTTTTTACAATGTTTAACATGGGCATGAGTTAATTTAAGCTTATTCTTTGGTTCTTTCGGTAAAGTCACGTATAAAGATAAAATAATAAATTAAATAATAGCATACGACGTTTCGATTGCAACACAAGCAATCATCATCAGGTATAAATGAAATAGCAACAAAAAATCTAACCAGAAAACTATAGACAGACATATAAGCAGACAGATATCACCAAGATAGTTTTCTGGTTAGATTTTTTGTTCCCATTTCATTTATACCTGATGATTGCTTGTGTTGCAATCGAAACGTCGTATGCTATTATTTAATTTATTATTTTATCTTTATACGTGACTTTACCGAAAGAATGAAAAGAATAATTCCTGCAGTCACGAAAGCTCCAAAATTAATTTAGGCTTATCATCTCACTTTGTAAACTTTCAATGATTCGTTTACAATAACTGCCATCGATTTAGATGAACAATGGATATCGCTAACAACACATCCTGTTTCTGCATTGATCCTGTGGCACCATGACTGGTTCGGCTGGGGAAAAGCCGAACGATTACATGCGTGCTCCTAAGCTCTCATCCCACACCCAAGTGGGTTTGGATCAGCACAATATGGCTCCCAACGAAACACAAGCCGAGCTGGCAAACCCGGTCTGTGAAACGAGGCACGTTTTCCCAGAGGTCATGCAAATGTGGCATGCGTGGGGCAAGGCTAAGTCGGCTACATGGGAGATGCTCCTGCACGGCGCTGCGCTGTAAACTCACCTGCACCACCTCTGCGTGGACTGTGCCTTTTGCCATCGGCTCGCTACCACTAATGTAGAACTTGACACGCATGTGCTTCACTCCTTCCTGCTCGAACTCCAAATGGCTGAGTAAAAAAGGAAATAAAAATTATTTAGATCAAGTGAATGAATTCCTTAGTCACCAATGACTGCAGAAACCCCATAACATGTAATTGGTTCTGCGCTGTTTTATTTACATTTCAGCTGAGCATGATCGGATTGACTAATGTAACGAACATGATACTACGTGGCAGGGCGAGTAAAACAAATTCTGCCTTCTTACTATGTAGACCAGAGATCACATGAAGGGATTTCAGAGGGAGCTCTTGATATGCACTTCCTTGGGCTGTCCTCTAACATGAAGGGTTGCAGCAGGGATCTGCGAGAAATCCAATTGGATACTTTGTCTCGCGACAATGCCAAAAGCACAATCGGGATAAACTTTGAGAAAAATAATAAAGGAATATTTAAAAAAATGTAAATAACAGTAGGAATGAAAGTTACTTGACCTCATCTAAAATAGTTGATTAGTTCAAATTCCCCATGTATTTTCAATGAGACGTTACGAAAAAAAAGCTGTTTCTGGCATAGCCCGCAGTCGCAATTCATACAATTTTAAAGACGGCTAAAATGTCCAGATGTGGAAATAAAATATTCAATAAATAAAATATTACAGACTCGGGGCATTTCGGGCCATTCTACAAGTATAAATGATCACGTGTAGGAAAAGGCCCACTTTCACATTACACCAAAGACGACGTAGCCAAACAGAAAGCGACGTGACTTTCTTGTGTAAGGCTCTCTTAACATTTACCTTGCATTACGGGTCAATGTTGAGGGTTACTGCCCTGGCCACGGCACGGTCAACTCAATCATGCTGGGGCCATAAATTACGGATGGGGTTACTGTCTTGCTGGAGTCCCAACATGTACAAAATAATGGGTATGCAGCACTGAATCTCTTCCACTGGGATTTTTTGCACACAGCGTTGGTGTACGGTGATTTTTTTTCTGCAATATTTTGCTGTCTTTTCTTGGATTTTCTGTTTACACTCAGTCACACATTCACTTTAAGATGTTTTTTGTCCATGTTTTTGTTTTTGTTTGTTGCGGTTGCACCCGATTCAAGAGCCGAATGGCTCACAGGGCTATACCTAATAAATGAACTTGAACCTGTTCACCATCCAAGCATTTGAACAATGTAAATGCGAGCATTCATGCAGACTTTCTACACAACGATCATACAATATTCTTATATGGTTCAAAAAGATGATTACAGGAAGATGCAGAAAATGCAACCAAAAAACGACCACGTCTTATCTTGTAGACCTTGCACCTAGGCCAGGGGTCGGCAACCTACGGCTCCGGAGCCGCATGCGGTTCTTTACGGGCTGCTTCTTGACGATATGTACGTATGTACAGTATGTACTCAGATGCATTGCGGCTCTTGAAATACTGAATTTTGTACCGAATTGGAAAGAAATGGCTCTTCTTGTTATTTTGGTTGCCGACCCCTGACCTAGGCTGTCTTTGGCTGTGTGACATGTATGTTTCATTAATGGGAAAGGAGACATCTCCCAGATAACCACCTGCATGTTTACACAGTAATTGCCGGTAGCCTCACGTATTTCCCACACACGTGCAATGGTTACACCGTCCCATATTTCACAATGTCACCATTACCACCCGCACAGCCATGTATACATACAATGGTCAGTGTGCATCGGTCAAGGGGGCGAGCATAAACATGGAGCAAAGAAGCACAGCACAACAATAAATGTTTATACGCTGCCCTTTACTGCCCGCTGAATAGCCCCCCACAAGCCACCATCCCAACCTGTTTGTGCACGGTGGGTTGCATCTTTCTTCAAATACAATTCTGAAAATGGCACCATTGCCTTTAAAATTGCTGCGTACAATTGAGTACAAGTCATCCCCCATAGCCATGTAGTAGATGGGTAAAGTTGGTTCGACTGCAGTGCTCTCAAGCGTGTACCAACTTTAAGGCTTTACCTGACATGCTGCCTTCGGCCACGGCGCGTCGTCTCCCCGTAGCCACTGATCGGCAGTCCAAGGGCAGCCATGACCTGCAGGCAATGAGATGGAAGAGGGAAACGTTGATCCCGTGACCACCGTTTGTGCACTGAGAAATGGTAACAATTCAGTAAATCAATCCTCATTTTTCTCACCTGAGCCTGATCATTTGAATGTGTCTAAAGAAAATGTTTCTGGGTTTTTTTGCACAAACTTTCAATCTCCCATTGTTTATGAAGCACTGTGAGGTTAAACCACCCTCCGAGAATTAAATATATCGGTTTGATTGTCATGCGACAATGGCTGGACAAGTACTGACCCCTACTGTGTGGACAGGAGGTTACTTGAGATTTCAGAGGTATCCACTTCTGTCAGCCATTCTCCTAACATCTACGGTGGCACTGCTCTGTGATACATCCGAATGGATACTTTGTCCTGTGAAATCATAATTATAACCCTTACACCAGGGAAAAAGTGCATAGCGGTTGTGTGAGTGTGTGACCTCAGGGTGGTCTCGGCAGCGTCCCAAGGCAGATGTGTAAACTCTGTTGGGACTCCAGGAGGAGAACAGCTCCATGAACACTGGGTAGAGCAAGGCGCCTGCAGACACACACAAAAAATACTCTAAGGAAACCCAGAGGTATGCCGCCAGTTACCCCAATGCAGATGGTAGAACTCCGAATGCCTTGTATAACATCAACACCAATTTTCTGCCGTACAAACACCCGCGCAAAGAATTTCTTAAGCCTACACGCAATGATATTTTGCGCACATTGATTTTTAATTGCCAATTTAGGTATGTTTGTAGCGACGTTTTACTCACAAAAAATCCCTGCACTTAAACAGCCACTCTGTCAATCCAATGCTGGATAACAGCCTCCCCCCACAGTGTGGGTCATGTGGCTAATATGACCATACTTCACCACGCTGATCAGTGCGGGTTGGTGCAGGCATATACTGTACCTCAATTTTATATTTCAGACATGTATTGGAATCTTAAAATTGTATCTCGACAAGCTGTTTTGTTGGAGAACGGCCCTGATAGAAACATCTGTGATCTCTTCAATAGATGCATCCTTCAACCAACATTATTTTCTTGAGCTGTGCACATAGGTTAATCGTTTTGCTATGTGTCCAAAGATTAAGCAAGACCAAATACTTTTCAATTATGAAATTTCAATTGTGAAATCTTACAACTGGTATTGCTTAAGCCCCAGTAAGGCTGCAGCCAATAGACTCACGATATACAACAACTTGTTTTCCTTCGAGCAGGCATTAAGACCTAAGCAGTACCGGCTCAGCATCCTAACGAGGCCATTATCCCTCTCAAATTGACTTTTATGTGGACTTCAATTAGGAAATTGGAATCCCCTCGAAAAAATGTCCGCTGCTTTAGCAGCATTACCATATTGAATTACTATCAAGTGGCTGGCGTGAGGTCACGGAATATTGAGCCTGGGGAATGGAGGTTAACGAGCACGATTCTTGTCGGTCACCGAGCCTCCGCAAATGTGACATTTACCTTGTGTGCAGAGGTGCAAGGATCTCACTCACCAGTGAGCCCGACACCTAGCAGAATGACTCCGAGGTACGTCAAGTCTCGGCCTGCATCCTTCACTGCAAGGAAACATTCATTGCGTAGGATGGTAAAAGTGCAGCCCTGCAATTACTCACGCAACTGCTGGTGGAAGGGCATCCGTTTGAAGGAACCCTCTAGAGCCCCGATAGATGTTCTTTGGCCTACTCTGCCATGTAGGCCAGACTTCTTGGAAGAAGTAGGAGTACCCAAAGTTTATCCTACCACGTGCGAATAGCTGATCGACTGTGGAAAGCCCATTCACTAATAGGTAAGATCAAATAAATAAAAATGCCCCCTTGTCTCAAACTGCAATTCAGGGAGATTGAACCAGTGACCTCTGGATTGCAAGTCCAGTATGCTAACCATTACAGAACCGTCGATTAGCAAGGTTTAATTTCACATCCGTTTAATTGCATATGCGTTCTTTAATTCCAATATGCATCCTCCAATAATTTATTCACGACCCTCATGGCTGATCAAAAGAAATACGCCAATTGAAGCTATTGATCTTGAACCAATTTGATTGCCTATGTAGTTGCGCACGAATGCACACAATAACTTTAAACGGAAAATATATTAATGCATTATAATTGCAGTTTTATTAGCGCTGCTTTGTGCATTTGTGAGATTGGTGAGAAAATAATGTAACACAGGTTATTACCAATTTTTTTTACAGTTAATACAATTTCCATTTGTTTTCATTATCTTTGCAAATTCATCACAAGGAATGTGTGTTCCGACTACATGTCTGAGTAGGAAAGTGTATTGCAGTCTTGCTCTTTATGGCGTATCCCTGCAAGCTACATTGCGCTTGAAAGTCGCTGCTTTATCAAACACTTGCACTCCATTGAACGTAGCCTCTTAAATAGCTATTAATAAAGCATGTTATGAAAATGCCATGGACTTTATTCACCGCTGCAACAAGCTCGCTAATAGCCCACGATCTGTGTGGCATTGCAGTATTAAAAGGGCATACCATCAACATGCGCAGTTACATTATAAGCAGTCGTCACAGCGATATCTCACGGCGTTTCCCATCGAAAACCAAAGGTTAATTTTAGTGTACATTTATCGTATGTGATTTGAGAAATGCTAAGCACAACCTATAAGTAGGGTACATTTTTTTCTTTATTTCAAACTGTGTAGCGTACCAAGATTAAAAGGGCATAATATGAACAGTAGAACGCCAATAATTCTAGAAATCTAAAATTTGCGGGTCATACCCCATAAGATAACCAAAATTATTGTTTGTTTTTCTTAGGTTAACGTTCATATCTAACGCATTCATATCTAACTCATTATAATGAGTTGGATATTAATTAATAATCAATACCATATTTTTGTTCCGGGTTCTTTCTGTTATCAATAAGTCCCTGCTTGATTGTCTTCATTATCATCAGCCATTATCAATCCACTGCTGGATAAAGGCCTACCCAAGCTCTTACCATCTCTCAAAATATAAAGGTATGTATATACTCATCCTTGCTAAGGTTACTCATCAATGCACGGACTAAAATGTAAAAATAAAATGGAACATGTTAATAGTTAATACAAGGTGATCGATTTATAGACACACCACTAAAATAAGAAGCTTAACACTTTATCCAACATATCCGGTCTGATTTGCCTGAACATCTGTCATTTCACCAGCATTAATTCAAGTAAGCCCGACTGCTGATGAGATTAACGTGAACACCGGTCCGGTATCCCTATGCTGAATCATAGCTGCTGAAATTCTGAACTTTGAGAAGGCCGGCCGATGGGTTGTATAAGTACTTTTATATTTGTTTACGTGGAGACACGATATATTATAACTTTGCTTATTTATTGTTACATATAAGCCAGCGGCGCCCTGTAAAGAAGCAGTGTTGATTTTACAATAGCACCTGGGAGACAGATACACCCACACTAATTAGGAAACACAACATCTAAAGTGTGCCCCTTCATTGGCAGACATCGAATCAACGTTGCCGTTTACCACCTCACACCATAGCCAGATCGCTCAGCAGTTGCACAGTCGAGAGAGACGTGACCACAAACAAGGTAATGCTGCTTCTTCACACTCTCCCACCGATACGGACATTACATGGTGGGTGTCAATACGGACAACCCCCATTGGTGCTCACAGAGTCGTGTCCTCTAAACTCACCCCAAACACAAGTCGCCACCATGACCAACGCTTTCCACCCCTCAGCTAGATCCCATGACAAATCCGCACCGTTTTGTTTTACGGGCAATTGCGCGCTTTACAGACGGCAAAGACCACGAGACTTCACGACCTCGCGGCGCAAATAATCCACGGATTTCTCCCCCGTTCACCTTTCTGCGCTGTGGTCGCGGGCCCGGCTCCGCGCTGCGTTCGTTCCGCCAATGCGCGGCCGCCCTCCTCTCGCCTCTTCGCCCCGGCGCCGTCACCCCTCGACAGCCCCCTGACCTGACCGCGCCGCGGGCTCACGGCCCCGCTCGGGCTGCGACTCGCACCAGGACGGACGTGAAGACTCCGTTCGTGGCAGAGGCGCGGCGAAGGCGCGGGACTCGTTCGGTGCGTCCACCACCGCCAGGTGCAGTGAGACCTCGTCCCGGCTAAAGGCGGTCCCCAGACGAGCAGGGATTTGGCCCCGCGCGAACCCTCGCCCCAGCCGCTGCACGGTGACCTTGCCCCGGGCAAAAGCTGCGTCCACGCGCCGCCCAGTGACGATGCCCTCCGAGACGCGAGCATCGCCGGCTCCAGGACGCCGCCGCCGCCGACACCGCAGCAGCAACATTGGGTCGAGGCCGCACGAAGCAGCAGCAGCGTCGTCGTCATCGTCGTCGTCGCTCGCCCACCCGCTCACTGCTCGGGCATCGTCCCGCGTCGGTGCCCGGGACGAACGCCGAGGAAGGACGGGGATGGAGGAGAAGGAGGAGGATGAAGGAGGAGAGGACGCGGAGTGCGAGCGGCCATGCGGCTCCCTCGTGCGTGTGGCCGCGGGCGGGTGGGGAGGCCTCTTCCGGGACACTCTCCGCTACGGGAGCTCGCGTGCGGACACTCAAGAACGCGATTTTATTAAAGCCTTTATAATAAGTTCACTTGCTTGCTTGCTTAGGACCGTGCAAATCTTTCGGTCGTTTTTAACCCACTTCCCGTGATCCAATCGAGCTGGCATTTTGCACACAGACTCGTTGTGCGTGACAATGCATTTTCGTGAAAAAAATTCCAAAATTTTACACTGTTTAGGGATAAATAAATATTAATTTGCCAATTGTTTAATGCTGCCAGACAATCATCTGACCCATAGGTGGCAGCCATCTCAAGCCAGAGGACGAGAGGACTCTAGCCGCCCCGATGTCACGCATATAAAGGATTTATAGTGAAAAACTTTGTTTTTACGGGTTAATTTTTTTCACTATTCACTGCCAGTCGTAATGCAGATCGTTGTTGTTACTATATTCCTGGTTCTTTCGGTAAAGTCACGTAGAAAGGAAATAATAAAATAATATGAAATCATATTTTATTATTTCCCTTATAAAATAAATAATAATAACAATTTTCCCCTTATTTTATTATTTCCCTTATTAAATAATAAATAATAATACAATAATATGAAATAATATTTTATTATTTACCTTATAAAATAATAAATACTAATACAATTATATAAAATTATATTTTATAATTTCCCTTCTACGTGACTTTACCGAAATAACCAGAGTATGGATTCCTGCAGTCACGAAAGCTTCAAATCATAATTAGATTGTTGTTTTGGGGGGGTGGGGTGGAGGTCAGATCGCTTAGATATTTAAAGAGAGCTTCACGACATTTTGTGATCCTAAAAAAGCCGCGCCTCCACAGCGCTGAATAACAGGCGTGCGCCCGGCAGTTGCACGTGGGTGGGTTGTGTGTGTGCCCAACCTCAATGAAACGGTGTACCAACCCACCATCTAATCGTATTTAGCCTGTATGTTGCCACTGTTTGCATAGTAAATGTGTGCTCACGCCTTCTGCAGGGTTCTTCAAAAATGTTTTAACACTTTTATGGGACTATCGTTTTTAATGGAGAAATAATGGCTAATGCACTGTAAAATGATAATAAATGTAGGTTAATAGCTTTAAAAAATCAAAGAGTCTCCACTTGTTCACCATCATTGTCAACACATGCCTGGAATCTTCTCCAAGTGGTCTCCAGATCTTGGAAGCACATTTTCCTGTGGTGTTGTTGCAAATTCTCATAAGTGTTAAAAAACATTTCCCAAAATGTCGCATAGTGTTATTAACACATGTGCTGATTTTTTTTAAATATGTGGATGTATGTGTTTAAATTCATATCATAGTCGTAATATTAGTTGTTACTTTTTCCATTTAGAGTGCATTCATCAAATGAAACTTTCAAAGTGTAAATACAGAATCAAGAGGATATTTTTTTTAAGCTTCAATGCACAATTTACAAAGGCATATACAGTCTTTGAAACCAAACTAATGATTGGAAAGTGTTATATACAGTACATGCTTTAGAAGCGAGACACTACAAAAAAATAAGGTTTCATATATTAACTTATTTTCAATGGAATAAGATAAAATAATAAATCAGTTGTAACAGTCCTGCAAAGTCTAATTAAATGAGCAAAAAATATGCTTTAGTGAGCCAATATTTCCAGGCTTATAAACATATATAAATGCCAATAAGCATTTCCCTGTGTGCAATACATTGTTCCTGAGACGTGAGAGATTACAAATGCAGAAACAGTGCAGTACGTAAATCACCGTGATGTAATTGCGTGCACTTCTAAATCCACGGTAATTTATCTTGTTTTACAGTTTAAAACAATCTAACAACAGTAAACGTAAAAATATCCAGCCTTTTGTAAACCTGCTGCGAGATGAAGGCTTTCCCACACCTCTGTTTCGTGGGAATTGAAAAACATTGCTTGGTAATACTGCGTCGGCAGGTGTGCCTAGACACATTTAACAAACAAAAAACTCGACACATTTGTAAATTACAGTGTGAGTTAAGAAAGGAAAAGAATTAATGGAAAGACGTTAGGCAAATGACCCTACTCTCTTGCATAAATATTGAGAGTACAGAGAGATAGAGTGAAGAAGAGTCATGTATTGTAAAACAATTATACTATTTAGAAAAAATGATTTTCCCAGGTAAGGCCCACTGAGGGATATCTCATTTTCAGAAACGATCCAGCCATACATTATAGCTCAACGAAGTGGTTTATCATGTGGAAATTTCCAGCAGCCAAATACTCTCAACGTATGTTTCTAAATGTGGAGGGATAAAACCGGAGGGACTGGAGAAAATCCATGCGACCACATGGAGAAAGACTTGCAAATTCTAAATATACAAGCATCGTCAGGGTCGGTATTGAACCCACGACCTCCTGTATACCATGCGAGGTATTTAACATTTCGCCATCGTGGGCTTGTACGATAAAGAATGGTCATTACCCTTAACATCGTCTCATATATAAGTTCCATTTAAGGCTACAGTGATATTGATGAATGCATTGAGTTGTTTAGTTCATAGGGCATTGTTTGACTATACCTCACGATGCTGATCAGTATCAGTTGATGACAGAGGGACCCAGGACCAATGCAAATATGTTTCACCACTGATGATAGTTATGGCTGGGAATCAAACTCGAGTTGTCAGGTTCAGAGAACCACTGCTAATGCTGTGCGATAGTGTAAAGATAGACGTGTTATATAACGTTGGTTGATAGAAAGTGGAGTTTGTGGCAAATTTAAACCACCCTGGGAACCCTGCTGAACAGGCATCTGCTCTGTACACCATCTGCTACACACAGATATAGTTTGCAGTATGTAATAAGCTGCGTACGCTAAACAATCATTTGTCACATTTTGACCCATGGCTAATAAATAGTGACCTCTTACAAGGTGATCGGGGGCATATTCTCTCAAGACCACCGTTATAATTGGCATATTTCATCTAATCATCTTTCATACTCCCCTTTTAACGTGCGTTATACGTGTGCAGTGGCAACTTATTGGAATGATGCGCTCATGTTTAGATATACAGCTTACAAAACATTTCAGTTGAAGCCAGATAACATAACCTGGCTTTATATTAATTTTTTGATGCCCCATGTAACATTCGTTTGTATTAAAATGCTAATTTTAAACCGGTCGCCTTGGTTCATGACTACTTTAACGTGGCAATGTGAACTGGATGTCGTCTTTTCTCAAGACAAACCGCACTTGAAAATAGGCCACAAGAGACCCTTCCTAGCCTTTGTTTTCTAGAGAGTGAACTGTTATTTACATAACGTTTACTTTAATAAGGGAGTGTGAAAATACATAATGTATTCATGAAGTATGTCGTGCACATGTCAGTGAGCATAAGAGGGTTTCAGGAATAAGTGATAATTTGTATTTCGGGTGAGTGACCTTAAAATGTAACTTCTTTTCAAGCAAATCTCTGCACCGTTGTTTTACATAAAATATTTATTCAAAACATATTTTATTGGACAAGTGGTAACACTGAAAAAAGATTTACATCTTTCTCTCGATATATATACACACACACAGTATGAGTTTCATAGATGTAAAGTAGCACATTATGCTTGACAGGGTTCAAGGAAAGCAGAGGCAAGATTTGGGTAAGATTTCAAATATTCAATCTTTCTTGTAATAAACGAGCCGAACTATCAATGTATACGTAAACACAAAGAGAATACTAAATATAAAACCCATCGAGTCAAATCGGATTTTACTTTAATAAAGCTAGGTAGAGGAAATACGTTTTACAGGCAAGCTTTACTAGAGTCCCAAGATTCATTTTAGAAGGTTCTTTGTATGGGGAGTTGAGCCGATTTGTTATTGAGCATTTGTAGAATGTGGGAGAAATCAAGGTGTATGGTAGCTTCCAGTAAATCCATCCAGAGATTAACAACACCACCTAAACGGAATGGAGCCACATTGACAGGTTAATTCAATGTACTCTAAAGGTGTTCGAGTCCAGAGATCAGCTGACTCCAGGCTCCAGGTAAGACACAGCAGATCTCCATACATTAATCAAGAAAGGATTGTGATGCAAGGCTTGCTATACAATTCACAAACATGATGAATGAGAACCTTGTTTTTGAATTTACCATAGAATTCGTTGTGTCCTGATTATGGATGTCTGTAATTGGCATAACGTATGATGTATAATGGGGAGAGAAATAGCCTGTTGAAGTGTTCACATGAGCCTCAATAATTTGATTATAGTTTTAGCAAAATACTGGAACAAAGATCCAAGGTCGAATAACGCTCCCTGGAAAAAAAGTTTGACAAAGAAAATCAAAATTCGTTGAGGTATCATCACATTGTAAACGAATCACTGTAATCAATACACAAATTCCAAATTGAGAATGAAATATTTTAGGCTTGTGAAAAAAATTAAGATGGGCTATAGAATGAAACACACCTCCAGAATTAAGCAGCTATACTGTAGTACTATTGATAATAAAAATCGGTCAACCTTGTAAAGTTTCAGCAACATTGAAACCATTGTCATGATAATATGAATTCATTCATACATACTCATACCGCGTTACCTCTAAACATGCTCACGATATGGAAAGTGTATTTAAAAGCCAGGAGCATATTTGTGAGTGAATACAAAACATCGTGTCGACTTTTGGGAGGCTTACGTGAAATAAACAAATTTGTGTGAACTGTGAAACCTGCAAAATATTACCGTAGAAAACACAGGCTATACACTCTACCGTGTCTAAAAAAAGTATTTATTTATTGATATAAAACTTTCGATAACAAAAGCATGTTTTTTTTGGGCAGTGTTTCTGCAACACTGAATAAAGCACTCGTGTTTTTGTCCGCCGTGATACCCCCACTGTGTTCTCTTTGCACGGTGTTTTATTCACTGCGTGGTCTGCAATAGTGTGGACAATCGAGGCGAATGACGACTAAATATTTCGACGATATTTGTCACCTGGAATCAACACGAACTCCGATTGAACGTCAGCAAAATAGGTGTGCAAATGTCGTCGCAATGTATCTCAAACTTGTCCACGTTTCTAAAATGTATTGCATTGCAGAGAATTTATTTGCGTTGAAATAAAAGTGGAGAGCAAAAAATAGTTGAAAAGAATTGCAATTCATATGCGCTCTGTAAGTTGTTCGTATGAGAACTTTTGAATCTTGATTTCAAGCTTTCGTGACTGCAGGAGTTATTCTTTACTCTACGCCGATCTCTTATCTTACTGCAGCCCCTTTTCCCCCCTCCCTCCCCCTCTAGGATCTATATAATACCTCGTCACAGAGGCGTTGTATCTCTGTGTATCTCTGTGTGTATCTCTCTCTGCGTGTGCCTCTCTATGTGTCTCTCTCTCTGTTGTTTTTTTGTCTCTCTCTCTGGGTCAATCTATCTGTCTCTCTCCGAGCTTGCATTTTTGCACACAGCGTTGGTGTACGGTGTTTTTTCTGCAATATTTTTGCTGTCTTTTCTTGGATTTTCTGTTTGCACTTAGTCACATATTCACTTTAAGATGTTTTTTGTTCATGTTTTTGTTTTTTGTTTGTTGCGGTTGCACCCGATTCAAGAGCTGAATGGCTCACAGGGCTATACCTAATAAATGAACTTGAACTTGAACCTGATGACGGTTGCTTGTGTTGCAACCGAAACGTTGTGATCTGTTATTTATTTTATTATGTTTTCTTTCTACGTGACTTTGCCGAAAGAACCAAAGTGTAACTTCGTAATGCTATACAATCATGTTTCAGGTGCGCACGTGAGAACAAGTAAGCAGTGTGCTGTAAAGCGCCTAAATATATATTTCATAGCCAATTTACATTAAAAGTTGATCGACTGTATTTAGTTAATGTGCAGGGACTCCTCCACTTACGAACATTTGACTTACGAACTTTCAGAGATACGAACAAACCTGTTCGTACGTCCAGTTGCCTGTTCGGACCGAGAGTCGTAAGTTCAACCACCGCGCAATAGATGGCGGTGGTGGTATCTACATCTACAGAACGTGAAGAACCAGTGGCATCTACATCTACAGGAGATTATACAACCTTTAAAGCCATTCCCCGTGTTTAGTGTACACGCCGTACAACATGTTTGGAATCGACAGGAGTAAAGTTGGACTTACGAACAAATCGACTTACGAACAGACCTCTGGAACCTAACTCGTTCGTAAGTAGAGGAGTCCCTGTACAAACGTTTTCGTCACAACAATTATTGAGTTTTAGCTTGAGCTAGCGCAAAATAGCTTGACTCTTTTGTCGCACTAACATTTATGTGCAACGCTAAGAGCTCGCTTTCATCATCGGTTAATACCCTCGGGTTGTTGATCGCGAGGCTCTTGGCAATTCTATTTGTTTTCCCAGAAAAAAGATTCAGTTTCTAACAAGTGCGACAGCTGGCAGACAATTATTGCACGTGTTTTTTTTATTATTCAAGAAGCTCATTACTCATATGTATACCATTTTACTTGTTTAGAAATAAATCAACTCAAACGTGAAACAGGTGCCGTGTTGGTGCTTAGAAACCTCATACTGAAAGATGATGATTACAACAATGGTGGCTCGGCCTTTAACCCACAGTTTAATGTCTTGCAATCCTCAACTTCAAATCCTTGCCCTAAGCTCTGTGCTCATTCCTTCCACCGATAATATATGTATTTTAAAGTGTCACTTTCTTGTTGTTGTTTTCACTCCGGCACAACTCATTGAACGTGGCTTTCTTTGCAAGTTGCCGTAAGGGCATCGTGTGTAATTGCCGATGTGAAAGCAACACACACTGGCAGGAGAAAATCAGCTCCAATTCTGGATGGGGGGGGGGAGTTGGGAGCAGAAGGGCCGTTGCATCGGGTGCTGCTGCTGCCACTGCTGTTAAGGTCTGGTTTAGAATTGCCGCAGCACTTATCACTAATTGACAATTACACCAGCAATTCCCAACCCCAACTGCAATTGCAGTCACGTGGAGTCATCAATTAGTGGTCGAAGATATAATTGGTCAAAAATGCAATTACAATTACAAATTGTTAAACATTAGCGAGAGAGAAAATAACCCCTTCAACACTCAACTTTTTGTTAAACAAAAAAAACACAGTACAACGATGTAAGCAAACAAGAGGAGATGTGCGGATTTCATCTGGGGTAGGGAGACAGTTTTTCTGCTCTGATTTATTTACTTCTTGCCAGAGTTGCAGCCAATTTATTGCACCCTGGGTTTGAATGTGAATTCTTGATTTTTTTTATCTGACACTCAAAGACCCACGTGATTTGACGGCAATAAAGAAAACCTTATACATCACACACACACAGCAGCACAATGTCCTTGGGATGATTCAGGGCATGCCAAAAAATTGATTTACATAGAATATTTACCCAAGTCTGGTTCTCACGCTTTTTTTTCCGAGTGATATTTTGAATGGCTTAATGTCAACGCAGAGCCACCTGTCCGCTCATTCTTCATCCAGCCAGGTGCACAGAATTTAGATTTGACAAATGCAACGCATTTGCTAGGTAGGCGCCGTCGCTGCGGTAAGTCCAACATTCACCCAATGTTAAACTACATTTTATGGCTACGCGTTCAAATCGTTCGTACATTAGCAATTGCATCGGTGCGTAAAAATTGCACAGGGACTTCGGTGCAGCCAGGGAGAGGTGAAGCTACAGCAGCCCGCGGGCCACTGACGGGCCCTGGTGATGGCCTTTAGTGCGGCCCCCTCGGCAACACACAAACGTGAAAGCACCCACCTGCAGCGCCGTGAGACGGCCCTCACACTGACGAAGTCTTATCGGTGAAAGTGGCTCCCACGCCACCCCCCCCCCCCTCTGAAAATGAGTGAAGGAACAGAGCCACACAAACAGGATCGCACCATCTCCAATTAGACATCGAATTTCAGCCGCAATTAAAATACTCAATAGCCGGAATGAATAGCTCGAAATCAGTGGCGCAGCTGTCGAGTGCAGGGAGCAGTGCGACCGCACTTGGGCCCCATTGGCTGGGGAGGTAGAGGAGGGGGCAGGCACAAGGCCAGGAATAGGGGGGTGAATTGGCCAGGGCCCCCCATTTCATCCTTTGAACCAAGGGCCATGCAAACCGCCCACTCGGCCTTGTGCGTTTGGACGCCACTCGCATTTCAACCAACCACTTGTGTGCAACGCATCCCGTCCAATTTGAAATTGGCCGTGCTGGCAGAGCGGTTGACAGCAGTGAGATTGACCGTGTTTGGTCAATGCTGCTTTGCACGTCCCATTACCCGCCGCACTAACTGACCCCCTGATGAAAATGAGGGCCAGATTTGAGACCACCATGATCTGAATTTGAAAACCCTGAATATGATCATCAGCAACACTCGGACAGCGTGAGCACCAAGTGTCCATTAGTGCACATTCTCAGCGTTAGATCAATGAGTCTTCCACAAGAAACTGACAATTCAGGTGGGTGCCTTTTTACCTCATTTAGATAGATATCTTCAGTGCACAAGATCGATGTGAATTTTACACGGAGAAAATGTGTTCAGCGAATCATCAACGGGAAGAGAGAAACCGAACCACACCCACAACCATTTTCGTTTGTATAACCTCGCATACTCAGCTTCACAAATACAGACGCTTCGTTGACCACAGCTTTACCCTGTAACAGTACGGCGTGAACCAATAATACAAGCCGGCTCGGCGATTCGAATGTCACAACAGTGTCCACATGTCGAGTTGTTTCTGTGAAGTCTTGGCACACACCCCTTGTCCAAACGCATTGGAACAGAGAGCAAATGTACAGCAGCTGCTGGCTGAGACTTCCCACTGCGTTGTCATCGTTGAGATCATCTGTTTGTGTACATTTCTCGATAGATTAACTCACAGTTTTCATATAACTCTGTTGATTGCCATCCCTCATCCTCCAGCCCCCCCCCACCCCAATTCTCACACTGAATTTCCTTTTGCTCTCTGTTGTCTCTGACGCTCGTTCATGATCACATGGCGGCGAGAGAGCAAAATTCCGATGCAGCAGACAGAGGCATCTGGTCGCCCCCACTGGTACTGGGAATTATTTTTTACAAAGAAAAATGAAGCTCGATGCCCTGTTAATTCAGGGTGCGTGTGAGAATGTTGGGAAGTGGGTGTACTTGATGTGAAAAAAAAGCAAAACGCTCGTTATTCATCAAAAAATACGACAGTATTGAGAGGACAAAAACAGTGGGTTTAATTTCACATTTGTTGTTGTTGTTGTTTTAATTTAATTGCTCCAGCATCGACAATGACACCCTCTAAGCCGCAGTCACATAATGCTAAGACCTTGTGCAAGGCTCCAACAACAACAACAACACAAAGACGAACCCCCAGAAGAAGGCTCCGGCGTTAATGGGTGTTCGTCACTTCTCACCGCGCGGTCCGTGAGCACCACTCGAACGGCACCGCATTACTCGCCGTCATCTCAAAACGTCACGGAGCGAAAGAGAAATTCGGAATTACATTGCAGGGTCCCGTGGAGGAAGTTCTAACTGGCATACACATCCCCCGCGCTGTGGCACTGCCGTTGCGCATCGTCGTCCCGGCGGGCCCGCCGGAGATTCCCATTTCATCCCCATTCCTGAAACGTGCACAAAAAAAGAGTTTGCCGTGGACTTGTAGATGACGGCAGGGAACACGGGGGTCTCTGTCTGCTTCCGCGCCGGACCCGGGGGTCACACCTCCACGGACACAGACCTCTGCAGCGTGCGCGTTCGCTCCTGCGGCACGCAGCCCTCGCACGCCGCCTCCGCGACGGCCTTGGCCGGGGTCGTCGCCGCCGTCGTCGGCGTAGCCGCCCCGGCCGCCGCGGCCGCCTTCTCGACGATCGTGCCCGCTCCCTCGTGTCCGGGGCTCGGCTTGAACGTGTAGAAGCTCCGCTTGGGCGCGGGCAGCGGTGGTGGCAGCGTGGACGTTTGCAGGTGCAGGTGCTGGTGGAGATGGTGGTGATGTTGCTGCGGGTGATGCTGTGGCTGGTGATGATGCTGCTGCTGTTGTAGCTGATGCTGCTGCTGCTGCTGTTGCTGCTGCAGTGTCTGCTGTGGCGAGTGAGCACTGGCTCCCAGCAGGCTGGCAGCGCTCTGCTGAGCGGTCACTGTCAGGCCCTGCCCGGGCACTCCCTGCAGGCTGTGCAAGCTCTGCAGGCTGTTGACGTGGTGGTGGTGCTGCTGCGGCTGCGTGTGGGGCAGCGGCGGCGGCAGGAGCGGGTGATCGGATGGCACCATAGCGCACGGCGGGTTTCCCCGGCCCTCCCTGTCCCGGTCCCGTTCCCTCAGCTCGCGCGGCTCCCTCTCCCCCCGCTCCCTCTCCCGCTCCCTGTCGCCCCGCTCCCTCTCCCGCTCCCTCTCGCGCTCCCGCGCGGCCGGCCTGTGCGGCAGCGTCGACGTCGCCAGCCCTCCGCAGTGGTGCTCGCGCACGCACCGCGACAGCGCCGTCGAAGAGGAGCGGCGCATGCCCGACAGCGGCTGGAAGTCGTCGGGGAGGTCCGACAGGTCCACGTAGGTCTCCTTGTCGCCGAGCGGGAAGGGGTCGTAGGTGGCGGTGGCGGCGATGGAGGGGGATGCGGCGGCGCCGGCCGTCGGTGAGGCGCACGACGTGTCCCGCACGCTCGACGACACGCGCCTCGCCGTGAGCTTCTTGCGCGGCTGCGTGAGCTGCACGTAGACGGAGAGGGCGAGCAGCACCAGCACCAGCGCCGTGGACATGCCGATCATGGTGCCGTTGGTCTTGGTGATGTGCTGCCAGAAGCTCGGCTTCTTTCGCTCTGGTGGGCGAGGAAACGGCCAGCCGGATGGGGGAATAAGACAGGCAGGCATCCAAACAGGTTAGCAGACAGTCAAGCAGGCAAGCAGACAGGCAAACAAGCATATGTAGTGACATAGCGCCGACTGCTGTCCAGCAGTGGACAGTGAGCGCACACGCCATCGAGCAAATACACGAGTGTGCCGGCAGGGCGGAGGAACTGGGGCAAGGGTCACGGTAGACCTCGTGAGGAAGTCCCTGAAACCCGCTAGTGAGTTCGAGAAGGGAGACGCGGCTAGGGTAGAGCCAGGCCACGCCGAGTAGAATAAAAGCAGCGGAGAGCGAGAGCTCCGGGCTGCCGGTTCTGGGAGTGTACTCGTCTCGTCGTCGCTGCCGCCTTCGACCGATCAGTGCGTGGCCGGACAGTGGTTGGCTGTCTCGGTCGACGCCGACGGTGCAACGCGGTTAGGGTTGTGTCTAGGCCGGGCTGTACGGCAACGTGAGTGAGCAAGGAGGCGACCCCGGAAAGGTGTTACAATAAAAGAAGGTGCCTCCTGCAACTACCTCGTCTCCGACTCGTGCTGCACTACACATACATACAGAGAGACCAGCAGACAGGCAGGCAAACATATAAACAAACAGACATTGGAAAACGTATTATTCAAAAGAGTTATCTCATGTACATCCTGTGTATATTGTATAAAGGATACCAAATGCAAAGCCTCTGCCAGCACGCTTTAGCCGCTCCCACGTTCCACATACCCTTGCAGTGGTTCTCGTCCCACGGGTAGGCACAGTTCTGCACGCCGTTGCACACCAGCGAGCTGTTGATGCACATGTTGCTGTGGCAGAAGAAGGAGTTGCGGTCGCAGGGCGCTGCGCCGCACACACGCACGGAGAGAGAGAGAGATGGGGGGGGGCCCGACGGCGAGCGGCGCGAGTGTCAACGTGAACGTCCGACAAGGGGCGAAGGTCAAACATCACGGGGAGCGGTGGCGCAGCGGTTAGCGCGCTGCGCTACGAACCCGACGGCCCGAGTTCGATTCCCGCTCACGCCCAACACCAATGATAAAAATAAGAAAAGGTTTTAACCCTTTCTGGCAATAAAACAGCAGGTGTTTCAAACACCAAGTAGATACATTTTGCAAGACATCAAGTCACCATTTACCACACATACTTTTGGCAAAACATGCAAACAAACATGCTCTGATAATAGATGCATGATTCGCCTTTTGGCATTTTCTAACACTTGTGAGACTAGGCCATAAAGAAGGCCGCCTCAAAAAAAAAATGAACCAGTGTCGGTGACGATATTGCTCGCGAAAAGCCTACGTGATAAACCGTCTCTCAGCGTTACGCACGCGCGCGCGTGTCAGGCGTGCGCGTGCACGTGCGCGCGTGCCATGCGCCGGTCGCGTCGTCGGGCAACGCACGGTCGAGGAAGGACGTGTAGAGCATGCGGAACCGGCTGAGGCGGCTGCAGTTGTCAGCCCAGAGCCGCACGACGCCCACTCCGGAGCGCAGCATCAGGTCGCTGGCCACCGTGCTGCAGAACTGCGCTCGCAGGTTCTCGATGGCGCTGCTGCCGTCGTACACGGCCACAAAGTTGCGGTTGCACTCGTTGGAGTGCTCCATCTGGTAGTCGAGGAAGCGCAAGTAGATCTGAGGGGTGGTGGGGGTGGGGCGGGGGGGGGCGGATTGAGGTCGCAGCCTGAGTGCCGAGGAGTGGTGAGTGAATGTGGGGGAGTGGTTGGGGGGGATTAGGGGCAATAATCGCCAGCCCCCGTAACGTCGGCTGGGCTGGAGTGCCCATTCCTCGCCCGGCTCACTGCTCAGGGTGCCCTCTTTTAAGTTATTATTATTATTTTACTCTGGTCAATGTTGGCACACTACTGAACAAGTGAGAGTTTTTCCTTTGAAGATCGCCAGCTCGGCAAACACCCATCGTCTGCTCGAGCAACGTGCAGAATGGACAAAAACAGATGATGCCATTACTCATTCTGTGCAGGGTATTTGTCTCAAGTTTGTTTAACTATGCCATGCCCGCTCGGGTTCTTGTATGCCCCGCTTTAAACAAGGCCATGCCTCAGGGTTGGCGAGGTCTTGACGTCGCAAATGGAGCCTTCCTTTATGGAAACCTGACCTAATCTTACGTGACCTGACTTGATTTACATCGATTTACATAATCTACTTCATGTGAGCTGACCTGATTTACTTACTCTGACCTGACCTGACATTGCTCGATCTAAAATTGAATGTTTTTTCAAACCTACTTAGAAGCCAGACCTTGACGTCTCTAATCCGGACATCCTTGATGGATACCTGACCCAGTGTTTATCTGACCTCCCGTGGCCTGGTCTCAATGAATCTGACCTGATTTACTTAATCTGACCTGACTTGATGTATCGCAGTGGTTCACAATCTTTCGGCACCCGTGCGACTGTCAAACCGCAAAAAATAAAAATGCGTGCACCAACAAAATACTTTTCAGAGTCAAAACTAGAAGTATTCTAAAAGCTCTGTAAAATTAAAATGTAAACACCATAAAACAATCAAATCGTTTTTTTTATTGACTAAGCTAAATATTTGTGCAATTGGCGGTGATGAATCTGGTGTTTTGTGAAAATAACATCCTAGGATGTGCAACTGTGGCTCGGATCACAACATCCTTGCGGACCACCGGTGAGGAAGCACTGATTTATCAGATCTAAAGTGACCTTATTAACTGAATCTGTGTCGGGCGGACATTGCTTGATCTAACGTTAACCGATTTTTCTAACTCACTTCATGTTTAATCAATGTACCGTTGCCCGAGTGCAACGCAAAGTGTAAGTAGACACACGGTGTTTAAAAATAACAAAATTACGTCACATTGTCCCCACGTGGGTACACTCTGAATAAGCATCTGTGAAGCGTCCTGAAAGGATGTTCCACTATTCACGATATTAGACTACCACAAGTGGGAGAAATAGTGAATTCTGGGATATTGGATTGGGGGGGTGTGGAGGCTGGGGGTGGGGTCACCTTTGCGGGAGGGGGGGCCCGGATCTTCCAGATGCAGTCGACCGCCTCGTTGGCCTGAGCCTTCCTCTCGTGCTCAATCTGACTCGAACGAACCACACCCTCCGTACCGCTCATCTCGAACTCGCAGTCTGTGTAGTGCGCAGCAACAACAACAATAACAACAACAACAACTGTGGTCGCCGATCGCCGCTGGTTGACAGTCACGTCACCTCCGAATAGCACGGTTGTCTACGTAGGGTGCGAAAGAAGTTCAACATGCATGCATGCATACGTCACCACCACAGTGATTGTACCAGGCTCGGTGCACTTTGTGGCCACGTGAAATGTCGAAGGCACGCTGGCGGGAGGTTACGAGACAGACTCAGGTGTTCTAACTTAGATGCTTGGTAGGTTGGAGTGCCTCTGCTCCCCACTGTGCAAAGTTGGCACAGCTGTGTAGGTACTCACGTACAAAGACAAAGATCCCCCGTGTAGCCTTAACAGACTGTTGGGACGAGTGCTGTTAGCGAGCGCCTATGAAGGCCGGCACGGCACACGAGGGGGTGGGTGGCAAGCGCCACACGCGTACACACAGCCTACTACCTCCAGCAGCCTGCTCTATTCATGCAAAGAATAACAGGGTAATTAGGAATATAGCACAGACATATATGTATATTTACTGTCACCAAGAAGAACACAAAGAAAGAGCTCATTGTTTAAGCTGGCTTGCCTTATTGAGGAATATAATGGGGGGGGGAGGGGGGGGGGAAATAGTTGGCACTCTCGCAAAGCGGTACGGAGGATTGGCTGCAGTTGAGAATTCCCACAAGGACTTCTCCCCAGAAATCCATCAAGTGGCCTCTTTTTATCCTTTAATACCGCAAGGGGGGGGTCTACACTTTCCCGCACACTCTGCTACGAGATTGTCGTATTGGCAGTCAAAACACACACGCGCACTTTCTGCAGGCCAAATTCATTTGAAAGCTAATTTCTTGGGCTTTCTGTAACAGCCATTGGTAAATTTCGATTTAAAGCTTTCGTGACTGCAGGGATCCATCGTCTTCGTTCTTTCGGTAAAGTCACGTAGAATGGAAATCTTATTATGTTTTATTTTATTATTGTATTATTTCCATTCTACGTGACTTTACCGAAAGAACCAAGAAGCCATTGGTAACTTTGGGCAGGAGCCATCAACTCGCTGCACTTGAGAATACGATTCAGTGAATGGGCGACTGCCTGGATTCGAACCCAGGGCCTCAGCAGTGCTGGCTGAGTGCTCAGACTGACGGGTCGGGGTGCGGTTTGGTCGTATCACCAAAACAGCGTGGGGATACCTTCATCCAGCAGTTTATAGAACATGCTGTTTCATCTACATAACAAAGGCTCAGTCCCATTCACAGCAGCCGCACCTTTACATCAGCCGCACCTTAACAACTCTTGGAACCTCCCAGTTCAACCAGTCTACACAACAAAGGCTCATTCCTAGCAGCGTGCTTCAGCCGCACCGAACCTCACAATAATAATAATATCCAAGTGCCTACCTTGGCTCCTCCCACCCTCAACCAGTATATATACAAGGACTGTTTTCTTGGAATTTCTCTTACTTGAAACAGCAATCGTGCTGTGACGGTTCCACCTGAAGACGGAAGCTTGTGTTGCCTCCGAAACGTCGTGATTTTTATTTTATTTTTACTTTACTTTAATTAATTTAAATTTAAAATTTTTACCTACGTGACTTTACCGAAAAAACCTAAGAGTATAGAACATGGTTGATGACGATGATGATGAACCACAGTTAATGTCATATGAGGCACCACACGTGACCCCTTACCTGGCATCGGGCTGCCCAGCGTCTTAAAGTCTGGATCTGCACAAATCAGGGCACAGGAAGTAAAGAGCACGCGATGAGAACATGGAATTCGGCCGTGATGTTTATTTGACTTGCGTCGTGTAAGAGATTTGCTTGCATCTTCCTCCACGAGATGGGGACCAAATTGAAAGCCAAGGCGAGCAGTTTCCGAGGGATGACTGGGTACTTGCAAGAGCCCAGGGTTGGTGCATCGTTATAAATTGATCAATTAAAGCCAATGTTCTGTGTTTAATTAGGCAAAGGCTCATTAATATTCATGCACTGTTTTCATCATTTAACGTCTCGTGGAAGGGTGACATTACGTATGGTGAGTTGTGGTCCCGTAGTTCGGTGAGCGCCGTTGTTGCTTTGATCGTCGAGGCGACGCTTTCAACAACCAGGCACGCACAACAACAGTGGCGCTTTCTCTTTGAACCTCTTCTGAGCTTACCCCAAGATCGACTCAGCATAAAACAAGGACCGGGGGCACAAAGGCAGCTCTGGTGCCCGTGACAACGTAATTTCCCCGTCTTGTGCGCCGTGCTGGACTTAATAGGCATACACGCTCTCATTGAATGGGAGATCCTTGTACAGAATGTGTTTGTTTGTTCCATATTATCAACAGAATTTAGCACAGTTGGCTACGTGCGGTGCGAAATAAGTTCAACACACATACATGCCCCAGGAGTATCCATGTCTGTCATTGTGTCTGGATCTTTGCCTCCATGTCTCTCCGTGTCTCTCTGAATCTCTGCGTGTCTCTGTGCCTCCATGTCTCTCCGTGTGTCTATCTCTCTCAGCATGTCTATCTCTTCCCGTGTCTCTCGTGTCTGTATATTTCTCTGTGGCCCTGTATGTGTAAGTCTCACACTGTGTTGTCACTGTGTGTGTGTCCATTGCTCTGTGTGTCTGTCTCACTCCGTGTCTCTCTGTGCATTGTTTCTGTCTCTCTCCATCTGTGTATTTGCATCTTGGGTCCCTCATTACCACCACCTACAAAGTGACCCAATTAACACTGCACCAGCTGTGTGTGTGTGTCCATGTACGTGTGCGTGTCTTTGTGGTGTTGAGAAGTGGCAGCACAGAGATTAGCGCACTGCGCTCCAAACCCGGCCACCCAAGTTCGATCGCGCTCACAGCCAACATCGGCGACAAATAACTGAGCCGGTCCTGAGCCTCCCCTAGCTTGACTCGGCCTTAACTGTGTCCCTGATGCGGTGTGTGAACATCAGCGCTGTGGAGTCAAAGGCGGCCGCGCGTGGTGTTGGCCACTCATCTCTTCGCACGCAGGTGAGGGCCTTCATCGGCAACTCCCTGTTAACGGCACTCGCCCCCCAGCAGTCCGTTGAAAGCCACGTGGGGGGATTCTTTGTCCACGCGAGTTGTTTTTTGCTCTGTTCCGAGGCCGTGCGCGCACCTGGTATGAACGTGAACCGCGCGCGGAAGCCCAGCGCCTCCAGCTCGCTGTCGGCGAAGAACTTGACCCACATGAATCGGCCCGTCGAGTTGACGGGCCGGGGAAGCACGTGGCCGCAGAAGCGTCCGATGAGGGGCGAGAAGCCGAAGGGGCCGTCGCGCACCTCGATGTGGTCGAACTTGCAGTCCCACGACGGCTCCAGCGAGTACGGCGCCGAGAAGCCCAGCTCGATCCGTTGCCGCGCCGGCGCTGAGCGGAGAGCGGAACGGCAGATCGGCAGAGCGGCAGCGGTATTAGACGGCTGTCACTTTTTTTGTTGGACATTCCCGCCCGTCTCGACGCGCATGCTCCAGAAAGTTGTGCGCTTTGGTCGGCGGTCGACGTTTCGAAGCGGAACGTGACCCTGGGAGGGATGGCGCCGCTCCTCACGTAGTCCCCCCCCCCCCCCCCCCACAATGTGACACGTGGATAAAACAAACGACTCGAGACACAGCGAGAGCGGCTCACGCGAAGAGGTCACACGTTTGGCGCAACGGTCCTTCGCGGACTGTGCGTGATGAATGAATGAAACGGTATTAACGACGACGGTGATATCAACGCGGATCAATAATACGACTCTGTGAGTGACGGGAATACTCTACGGGGCACGGGAAAAAATGACGCTTCAAGGGCTGAAACACGAATATGTTGAGCAACAGCGGAGAGGCGCGCGCTTTTGCACGCGCGGAGGCGCTTCGGCCTTATCCAGAACGCCACCTCAAAAGAACTGAATGTGTGGCCATTTAGTAATTTTTAGGACTTGAGAAATTGAGAAAAACGTGGCTTTGTTTGGGATGATCACACTGTCGCAACTCTTTGGAGGCGGTGGTTCCAAACGACAAACTGGCCACACGGGTGAGCTTCTTTTGAGCTGGTGGTCTGGATAAGGCCGCGACACTTTGCACGTGCAATGCTGCACAGCACACGTGTGTGTGTATGTTGCTAAATATCTAACACAGATCGATGTCATGACAAAATGAAAAACACTAATCAAGTTGTTTTAATATGTATTACATTACAGCCCTTTGCCAATTAATTGCTGGATAAACACTGCCCAATGCACTGCCAGTCGTAATGGTTGTCAGTTTACCACCTACAGCGCCTCCTAACAGTGACTAACAGAAAACATACATACAGAGTAGTCCATGTATGGATAATGCTAGAGAATACAACATTTGATATCAGAGCCTCTGTATGTCTCCCACCAGCCTCAATTCACCGATGAAATCATCTAACGCTCTCCCGTGTGAGCGACGGAGCCATCGCATTCGCAATACCCCAAACACCATTAGAGCAGAGGGTCATTGGAAATCAGTGGGGTGTCCTAGAAATGGATCGCCATGTGCGACAGGGCAGCGTTTAGTCCTTCCCCCGCACCTCCGATTAGCACGTCTGGCTACGTACGGTGCAAAAGAAGTTCAACACACACACAGGACATACGTGCATAGCCTCTCTTCAGCACAGCTCTCGAGAGCATTGTTCGACACTCGTGAGAGCCAATCACAATCACAACATCGCCTGCACGTGCACGAGCATCCTCCTCCTCCTCCTCGGAGCACCTTCCAGGATGTAGATGCAGTCCTGGTTGGGCGGGTAAGGCTCCGGGTACTTGGGCGAGGTGAAGGTCCCCCCCCACTTGCTGTCCGTCCACACTCCGCAGCGTGCCGTTTCCTCCCTCGTCGGAGCGATCTGGCTCTCTGCACAGAAGCACCACGGGCAGAGAGAGAGAGAGCGAGAGAGCAGCACCGACTAAAATATTCCTGCGGAGGGAGCTGGTAGGAACGTTGGGTTGCTCGGTCAATGGCCAGGGTCAACGGCGGCGTGGTGTATTCCGCAAATATGCCCGACTGTGAGGGCGGGCACAAGCCGGCGTGAGTAGGTTAAACGTTGAGTTTTATAAGGGCGCCACGGGGTGACCAGCCCCTCCCCACTCAGCACCACCCCCCACCCAGCCCCACCCTCGCAACCCAGCCCCTCCCGACCCTCCCCACCCAGCCCCTCCCCACCCTCCCCACCCAGCCCCTCCCCACCCAGCCCCTCCCCACCCAGCCCCTCCCCTCCCCACCCAGCCCCTCCCTGCACGACGGACGGACGGACACAATAATCCCCTGTGTGCTGGTGGAACCAGGAGGTTCCTACCAGTATAACGGAGGGCGGTGTTTGGAATCCGTGGCGGCGCTGGGCACGGGAAAAAAAATCGAGTCGATTTATTTGTGTTGAACGCGTGCTCACGCGTTTCCGGCACAAATGTGCCAACCCAATGCGCCGCCGTAACATCAATAAATCCTTAAACGGGGAAAAAAACTATTCTGTATACGGTTAGATTTTGTTTGTTGTACTATTCATAGCTGTTTATAACTTAATTTGAATGGATTAATGACGTGAGTGATAGGCAGCGGCGGCCACAGGACGGCAAAAAAAGTTAAATCAGGTTGTGGTTGTGTGTTATTGTATGTATGTTGAACTTCTTCAGCACCGTACGTAGCCAACCGCGTATAATCGCAGGTGCGGGGGAAGGACAACAATCTAAAAACACAGAACGCAGTTCTAAAGAAATTCGTCTGCAGTCTAGATTTAAAAGTGCACAGCTCGGGTGGCTTCCAAATATCGGAAGAACGTTCCAGACGGCCGCGGAAGCGCATCCGAAAGCGTGCGATGTAGTGGCCGTCTTCGTGCGCAAGCGTTACAGAGATGAGCTTTGAGTTGTGACTCGACTGAAGCGATGGAGTCGAGTGTGCGGAACGCTTCGGAGAGGTTGTTCCAGAGGTGTTGGCGCTACTAATGAAAATGTTCTGTCCAACCCCATAGGCTGTGTGTTTGGTTGTTGGTGGTTGGAGAGGAGTGGTTGTTTGGGTTGAGGAGCGCGAAGTGATCCGTAGTTTTGCTTGATCTGTATGAGGGTTCTACTGTGAGGTGGAGCTCGGTTTTGGATTGCTTTGTATCTTCACAGGATGATTTTTAAATCCTTTAGATTAAGTTTGCTTGCTTGCGTGCTTGCGTGCTTGCGTGCTTGCTTACTTGCTTACGACCGTGCAAACCTTTCGGTCGTTTTTTAACCCACTTCCCGTGATCCAATCAAGCTGACATTTTGCACATAGACTCGTTGTGCGAGACAATTAATGTTCGTGAAAATTTTTTTCCAAAATTTTACACTGTTTAGGGAAAACAAATTAAATATTTAATTACCAATTGTTTAATACTGCAGACAATCATCTGACCCATAGGTGGCAGCCATCTCAAGCCAGAGGACGAGAGGACTCTAGCCGCCACGCATATTAAGGATTTAGAGTTAAAAACTTTGTTTTTATGGGTTATACTTGTTACGTGTACTGTATCCTCTATTTAATTGGTAGCCAGTGTAAGGTTTTTTTTGAGTTTGCGTGATGTGGGATGATTTCTGGTGGATTGAAAATTTGTCTAGCGGCATTATTCTGGATGATTATGAAGGCGTTGTAGCCATAGCTGTCAACCCATGCGGTTTACCCCGAATTCTTGTGCAGGGAAATTGAGTTTTCAGGTCCATACGGCGTACAGCCGTTTCAATACGGGCAACAAATAGTTTTTGTCTATTTGTTTGTGTTTCTCCCTTGTGATGGGACTTTGTAGGATGAACGTTGAGAATTATAAGGGCACGGGGTGACCAATAAGGTCTGAATTGGTCTTTAATATGATAGGGCACTGATAAGGGGTTGGCCCGTATGGATGTCGCTATGTTTGAAGTACTCCGTAAAGTAGCTGCAATAATCTCGACAAGAAAATTAAGGAAATCCTTAGGGCCCCAAGCAGCTAAAGGGGCGACGTATTTCTGAATAAATATGGGTGAACCAAAGATCAGCTCGTATTGAAATTCTAACAAATGCATCTAAGCTAATTTACATGAACACATCTAATTACTCTCTTTCATCCCTGTGATGTCTGTACCCCTGGTCTCTCATCTAACTCCATCGTTGCCCATGTACATCCCCTCTCATCTCACCACATCTCCGTCTCATCCGCATCTCTCTTTTTCTCATCGCAACAATATCTCCATCTCTTGTCGATCTCTCGTCCGTAAACTCAATAGCCGAGATATAAAATGGCCGAGGGGGAGGGGAGGGGAGCAAAAATAAGTATAACCCGTAAAAACAAAGTTTTCCACTATAAATCCTTTATATGCGTGGCGGCTAGAGTCCTCTCGTCCTCTGGCTTGAGATGGCTGCCACCTATGGGTCAGATGATTGTCTGCCAGTATTAAGCAATTGGTAATTAAATATTTAATTTGTTTTCCCTAAACAGTGTAAAATTTTGGGAAAAAATTTCACGAACATTAATTGTCTCGCACAACGAGTCTGTGTGCAAAATTTCAGCTCGATTGGATCACGGGAAGTGGGTTAAAAAACGACCGAAAGATTTGCACGGTCGTAAGCAAGCAAGCAAGCACGCAAGCAAGCAAGGATTTAATAAGTATAACCCGTAAAAACAAAGTTTTCCACTGTAAAGCCTTTATATGCGTGGCGGCTAGAGTCCTCTCGTCCTCTGGCTTGAGATGGCTGCCACCTATGGGTCAGATGATTGTCTGCCAGTATTAAGCAAATGGTAATTAAATATTTAATTTGTTTTCCCTAAACAGTGTAAAGTTTTGGAATTTTTTTCCACGAACATTAATTGTCTCGCACAACGAGTCTGTGTGCAAAATGTCAGCTCGATTGGATCACGGGAAGTGGGTTAAAAAACGACCGAAAGGTTTGCACGGTTGTAAGCAAGCAAGCAAGCACGCAAGCAAGCAAGCGAACTTAATATAAAGGATTTAAAAATAATGCCCAGGTCCACCACGGCCTGGGATGGCACGTGACCCCTAGACGTCTCCGTCATCGGGGGTCGTGCGGCTCTTTAACAAAACTGCCTCGTGACGTCATTCACGCATTGCGGCTCTCGAAATATTGAGGGGGTTTTTTGTTGTTGTTGTTGTTTGTTACCAAATTCGAAACCAAAAATTGGCCCTTCTTGTTATTTTGGTCGCCCACCCCTGTCCATGATCATTCCTCCCAGACGGGGAGGCACCCGCCTTCATGTTAAAGACAGGTCAATCACCGCCAGTGCCTTTGACGCCACCACAATTCACCCGGCGCAGACTTGCGTCTGCCAGATCCTTGCATTAGTTGCGACGGTCGACACCTCACCGCCACGGGCTGCTCTTGCGGTCTCGTCCCGCTTATGTCGCTGAGCCTGCGGGTATAGGTGGCCCCTAATATTGGGCGGTTGCCCCTCACCGCCACTCTTGCTGCCCCCATATTTATTGGGCCCAAGAATCAATACGGCACTCAAGGCAGCAACAGCGAACAGGACACGTGGCAGTGGTGGCTCGTGGCTTAATTTGATTCGCTGACAAATTCTGACCGTGGGGTTTCCGATTGCAAACGATTCATATACGTTAGATGAATTGCATACCTCGTATTTACCCTAGATATCTCTCACACAGGAGATGTTTGCCTCGACGTGCTGTGGATTGGCTATAAATTAGTACACGTAATTGATGAATTGAGCGGAATGAGCAGAGTGGTTCTTCTAAAAAATATATATAAGCCTAATTAGTAACAGACTTTGCGTCGTGACATTTGTGACCTACTCTTGCCAATCACTCTCTCACCCTCCCCCACTCCTCACTCTCAGGCACAAGGCACTGCATTTTCAGGTAGGTGCGACTGTTGTCATTGTTATGTACGTGCTGTCCAGGATTTCTTTTGAAGGATTTTTTTTTGGCTGTCACAGAGGTGGGGGATGATGTTGAAGCGTACAACCGCTACACCAGCTGTCAAACCAACCCCTTCCCAAGCGCCCGCAGTGATGGAAGCCAGGCCGGATTTAAACCATGGGCCCCCTCTGTGTTTTGTAGGACTCTGCTTTATGCCCTCCCATTCCACGTTGCGAGGTCGTACGGCGGCCATCGAACTACGATGACATAAAATAATAAAAATAAAACATAATAAAATAATTCTCACGACGTTTCGGCCACAACGCAAGCAGCCGTCCTCAGGTGAAGACCAGGTCTGTCGGGGAGACAGCGTCTGAATGAAACACCACCAGGCTGTCTCCCCGACAGACCTGGTCTTCTTCACCTGAGGACGGCTGCTTGCGTTGTGGCCGAAACGTCGAGAGAATTATTTTATTATGTTTTATTTTTATTATTGTATTACTTCCCTTCTACGTGACTTTACCGAAAGAACCAAGAAGATGAATCCCTGCAGTCACGAAAGCTTTAAATCGAAATTTACGATGACATAATTCGTGACTTTGCCGCAGATAAAGCTAGGGGAGACACATTTGCTTTGCTTGTTTGAAGAAATGAGTGTCGTGAGCGATTTAAGTTTGATGAATTCACCTTGTGCGGAATCATTTTTTAAAATGTTTTTACATGAGTAAATACAAATGTTTGATTACTTCATGACAAAATGTTTGTAGTATGTCATATATTTAGGCCCGTCCCTCCTGTTAGCCTTAGGCCCATCGTAGCCATAATCCGGCCCTGGTTAGAAGTGATAGTGCAAAAGTGAGCCAATTACACTGCGCGTACATTCCGTGCACCCGGACTGAAACTAAGCTCCAGAACTGTTTCCTGTAAACAAGTATATCCATAAAGAGTGTCCATGAAAATTATCATCCACTACAACAGAATTGCAAACATGTACATCAGTTTGAGTGAACTGCTTAGCTTTAAAATGTGGGAAACACATTCCTTATAAAGTTGGGGGTGTTTTTTTTCTCTCTCCAAAACTCAAAAGCTCGAGTGAACTCTCCGACTGCACAGAGCAGAAACACTCAAAAGCCATCGCACGCACACGAGATGCTGGCGAGAGAGCACCTGGGGGACTATTCTCCGTCTCAACCGGCTGTGTCGCCAATGCCACCAGTGCCAGGCATGTGGAGGGATTCAAGGGATTGACACTCGCGCTTGAACTGCTGCACAGTACATTTGACAATTATCGAAGAGCGGATGATACTTTCGTGGGCACCCTGTACATTTGAACACGTGTAATATGGCTTCTTCTCTGACGAGCACGACAACGATTTATCTAAAATTTTCTTTAACAAAAATCCTATTTCAAGTATTATATAAATGTGCAATAAAGTGCTCGCCAAGAGCAATACGCTTTATACTCTTGCCGTTATAAATTCATGCAGATTCACAATCAACAGTGATATCCCGGCCTCAGTACAAGACACCAGACATAACCATACCTGATATGAACTTTCAGAAACGTAATACTGGACCGATAAATACCATCTAGCACAGACTCAGTTAGCCCTTTGTTCACCCTTATGCAATGAGATGTAATCCATCCCTCCCTCTGTATCCGTCGCTGTTCGTGCAGCCCCTGGGGCTGCGCTTTCTGACACCAATTTCAGGTGCAATTCTCTTTGTTGAGTGCAGTCATCACTGGGCTGGCCTGAGACAGTGCCAGCCGCTGTCAGCTGAGTCAGTGGCGGCCGGTAGGGAAATTCATTGGTGGGGCATAGAATCTCGTGGGGGGGGGGGGGGGTGAGGAAAGGGAGTGTATGGAGTTTGCAATCTCTATAATGAAGAGATTAGTATTGTTAAGGTTTTTTTTTCTATAAACATTGTTTTACGAATAGGAGTTCCGCTCCACCAGCCCTCAATAACAAGCCACCACTTAAGCTAAGTAAATCAAGTTTAATTTCGATTTAAAGCTTTCGTGACTGCAGGGATTCATCTTCTTGGTTCTTTCGGTAAAGTCACGTAGAATGGAAATAATAAAATAATAAAATAATAAAAATAAACATAACAATTTTTTTAATATTATATAATTACATTATATTATTTTATTATGTTTAACTTTATTATTTTATTATGTTTTATTTTTATTATTTTATTATTTCCATTCTACGTGACTTTACCGAAAGAACCAAGAAGATAAATCAAGTTTTTTTTTTCTCTTGCTGTTTGAAGAGGCTCAGTGCTCCAGCGAACCGCACGTAGGCCTCTTGAGCCGACCGGACGATTGCAGATAACTTACCTGCCACTCTCCACGTCATCCCTCCCCATCCTGGCATCACCACGACGCTCGCCCACACTGCAAAGACACACAGCGTCCAAGCTATGTCCGAGAGAAAGAGAGAGAAAGAGAGAGAGAAAAAAGACAAGTTGATAGAAATGTGATTGTGCCTTGAGGTCGTTTTGTTTTCACAGCAGCCGTCCCGGCTTGCATTTGTCATCATCGGAAAGACAACAACAACAACAAAAAGCTGCACTTGATGGCCGCTGGCTAAAATGAAGCAACGAGGGACGGTATCCCACCGAGAAAACATGATGACCCCACTGTTCCTCTTTCACCGCCACTTTACCGGTCAATCGCTCAGTTTTTTTTCGTAATAACAAAATAAATCCCAATCATACGTGGTGCGAAGTCGCGGTCCAGTCTGGCAATTTCAATTTGTGGAATCAATGAATCTGCTTGTAACGGTGCACTGGGTTTCTGACAAAATTTATTTTGAAGATAGTTTTTTTGTTACTTAAAATCCACGGGCAATACTTATATTTCTCAAATTTCACCATGTTTACCAAAGACAAATCCGCGTTTTTACAATTTTAATCTCGATAGGAACGCGTTATTCGTGAGCACCTGTTACAGCTCATGATGACGATGAGACTGCATGAACAACTACCTACTCATGTTTTAGGCTGAGTTGCAAGAGAGGAGCAAAAGGTGGGCATGGCCAGGAGTTGCAGAAGTGTGTTCACTCACACACACACACAAGATCAATTAATAATGTTTTTGACGCTAGGGTCAAGCGCCTATTCAGAATCAGAATATTTATACTTGAGGAATCCGATGAGCTAAAAAGCTCTTTTCCACAGCTGTCCAGTAGAGGAGACAGTGCACAAGGGGGGAGGGGGGTTTGCCCAGTGCTACACCTGGTCGTCACCTTTACTTGACCTATGGTAGACTTGGAAGGAGAAATAAAGAAATACCACTTTTCACTGGTAATTTTGCACGGCCGAGAATCAACCCCAGATATTAGGTTCAAAGTGCTGTTGCTCACACAGCTGTGTCACCACCCAACATATATAAACACACACATGGGGCCAGATGCTCTAAACATTTCAAAATTTCCACCCAGGATAGTAGACAAAGTGACCTGCTGTTTGACGGTAACAGCGAACGCAAAGTAAAACAACTTTGCATTGCAAGTTGGCCTTAAAAACCTTTCAAGTTGAAAGTGTGTGCGTAGAAGATCCTAGGCCAGATCTGGTCTATTTCCCTTATTAACGCATCGTTTATAATGCCTATAAACAGAACAGATGATCGATATTCCAGCGTGGTGCCGGATGTGCGCTGCATGGCCCAGTTTGTTGTATTGACACATTCTGAGATGTAATGGCATGAATGGGTGCCAAAAAGAGACTAATCAAATTGGACTCCCAGACAGACACACTCTTCTGTGTCACTGGTGCTGGCCTGCTACGAATAAAATGACAGCTGTCTAAACATGTCCTTCCAGATGTTAAACGGTATTTATTATTTCCTTTTGCCGTCATATAAATACTGCATTCATATTTTGACTTAAAACTTTCGTGACTGCAGGAATTCATTTTCTTGGTTCGTTCGGTAAAGTCACGTAGATAGAAAACCAAAAATATAAATAAAAAATGGAGAAAAAAAAATTTGTAAATAATAAAAGCAAAAAACCACAATAAAAAATATTTCAATTTTTTTTTATAAATTCATTGAAAAAAAAAATCTACATTCATACTGGCATGCATACACTACAGAAGATACATGCACATGTACAGCCCTTGGTCGATCTACTGCTGGATGAGGGTTTCACCATGCCATGCAGGTCACGATGCATACTTTACTATACTTCACCACGCTGGTCAGTGTGGGTTAATGAAAGTTGGGAGATTAGATGTTGGAGCATAGACGTCTAATAAAGGTTTTTACCCAGGAAACCTGCAATGAGTCTCATAACTCCCTTTTCAGGAGAGTCCTGCATTGTGATGTTTGGCCAGTACCCATAAGGGTTCATGCATGTCTTTGAAACGAATTGTCCTACACGAGAGAGAGCCTTCTGTATGGCCTTGTCTCAGCACCAGTGTTAGCCCAAAGAACGCCAAAAGGCAAACAGCACAAAGACAATGCACGTATCAGAGCAGTTATAGCTCGGGGTGAACATCTACATCATGGGACCTTTTTGTCAGTTTCAAAGTATGAGAAATCAGAATAGGGTTTATCTTTTCTGGCAATAAAACAGGTGTTCAAATGTCCAAACACCAAAATAAGAAACCTTTTTGCAAGGAATCAAGTCTGCAGTAACCACACGTACTTGTGGTGAACATGAAAACAAACATGCTCTGATAATATAAATATATTCTTGGTTCTTTCTGGAAGTCACGTAGAAGGAAAATAATAATATAATAAAAATAAAACATAATATAATACATTTTTTTATTATATTATGTTTTATTTTTTATCATATAATACAAACCTTTTAAATTATGTATTATTTGTATTATTTTCTTATTTCCCTTCTACGTGACTTTACCGAAAGAACCAAGAATATGAATCCCTGCAGTGACGAAAGCTTTAAATCGAAATATAATTATATATCTGGCATTGTCTTTAAAATGGATTGGCCTACACCAGAGAGAGTCTTCATCATGGGCTTATCTCACTATCAGTGTTAGCCCAGCGAACTCTAAAAGGCGAACAGCACTAAGACGACACAAGTAACAGAACACTTATAGCTCAGATCGAGCAGTTAAAGGAGGCTGTCCCGTTTCAAAGACAATGCGTGTTTACATTCAGAGCATGATTGCATGTTTTTGCCACAGGTACGTGTGCTTAATGCAGACCTGATGCCTTGCAAAAGGTTTCTATTTGGTGTTCGGACATCTTCTTAACGCCTGTTTTTGTTGCCAGAAAGGGTAAAACCTATTCTTATGTTTCATCGTTTTTGATACCGGCGAAAAAACACAGGTGCCATCGATACCAGAGTGTTCGAGTTCAAGTATATTTTGGGAAGAAACCGATGCACGTGGGGAAAACCCCGTCGTGCACATCACGTAGTAAACACTCAACGCTCAGCACGGGGAGATTCAATCCACACAGACTCGGTCCTGTGAGTGGAACCGAATCCATCTGTGAACCACACTCATCGCTGTGCTGCCATCTCCTTGCACCAAGCAGCCCTCGCAGCCTACAGCACCTGGTATGCACAGGTGGCGGTCGCATATTGAGACACAAGCCCGGCTCAGCCAGGTGATTATATCTGCTGACACAGCGCACTGTTGTCCGTTCGTGAAAGATAAAACATCTCCCGATTGGTCGTGAATAGGTGATAGTGACAAGTGACTTTGAGTGAGCACCCACTGATGATGGCGTGTGCAGCTAGCACGAGGCAACGCCCACACGCACATTCATCTTCCCGACGTCGATGTTGAACACCACACTTACCAGCAACTCATATTCATCAGAGACGACCTGGGGTGAGCCCAGGCCAGCTTCGCGCTGTGATCTAACGAGACTGCTGAATAGTGCGAGGGTGTTGACGTTTCTTTGTGTATCTCGGAGGTGAAAACTCAAGACACAAGAGAGTCGAATTTGCACAAGCGGCCTGGGTTATTTAGACTGCCAGTTAGGGGCTATGGCTATGTATGCGTATATATCTTCTTGGTTCTTTCGGTAAAGTCACGTAGAATGGAAATAATAAAATAATAAAAATAAAACAGAATAAAATAATTCTCACGACGTTTCGGCCACAACGCAAGCAGCCGTCCTCAGGTGAAGAACAGCGTCTGTCTTCTCGACAGACCTGTTCTTCACCTGAGGACGGCTGTCTTCTCGACAGACCTGTTCTTCACCTGAGGACGGCTGCTTGCATAGTGGCCGAAACGTCGTGAGAATTATTTTATTATGTTTTATTTTTATTATTTTATTATTTCCATTCTACGTGACTTTACCGAAAGAACCAAGAAGATGAATCCCTGCAGTCACGAAAGCTTTAAATGGAAATGTGTATATATGTTGAACTTCTTTCGCACCATACGGAGCCAACCGTGCTCATCGAAGGTGCGTAATATGCTCGTGCAATTGTCAAATTTGGCAAACGTTGACGCTGACGCCAGCAACACACTGGCCTGCTCTTGCGAATGATGGCAGGCGATCTTTAACGTCCCCTTTGAAGCATACGACGTATATTGTTATTGCGGTCATGACACCCGCAGGAATAACCAGGGGGCGGCCGCTGGATTCGAACCGTGAACCTCTGCAACAAGTGGCAAATTTGCGCTCCTGCTAGGCCATGGGGAGCAGTTGTTGCAGGGGTTGTGCCTATATGAGACTGCGTGTCACAGTGAGAGCGTACTTTGCGTGCGATGAGCGGTGGCGCACAGCGATTAAGCGGATAGCGCCACGAACCCAGCGACCCCGAGGTCCATTCCCGCTCATCGGTGACAAATATCTCAACCGGTCCTGGGCCCCCCCCCCCCGCCCCAGGTTGACTCAGAGGCAACCTGGCGTGGTGCTGGCCACCCACCCAACCATCCAACCCATCAGAGACGCCCGCTAACGGCAACTAGCCTCTCAACAGTCTTGCATTGTGTGGCGATACCGTCCCCCCCCCTCCCGATACGTTCCATTCATTGGCTACCACATTCTGATAAGCTCCCCGCCCCTCTCCTCCCTCCTTAACTTGTATTTAAGAGCTTGCATCTTGAATCCCTGCCTCACTTGATGCAGCAAATCTGGCTGTGACGGTCCCACCTGATGACGGAGACTTGTGTTGCCTCCGAAACGTCGTGATTTTTTATTTAATTTTTATTAATTTTAATTTCATTTTTTACCTACGTGACTTTACCGAAAGAACTAAGAGTATGATAGCGAGGGTGGTTTTGTTTTTCTCTTTAACCGGCGAGTCGAGCACTGCGCTATCATCTCCATTGGCAAGGGAAAGGCTGCGTCCACGAACTCCACCGGTACGTGAGCCCGGGCCCATTTGGTGGGCGCGTGACCTCACCGTGCACCACGCACATCGGCCTTGCGAGCCCTCGGACCTGTGCCCTGGGGGGAAA